GTCGAGCTCGTATCTTGTAGTCAGTTGGTGATGAATAAAATGGAGGCGAATAAATTGATTCATTCACTGTATATTTTGAAATGAAAACAAGTTATCGTTCTTCAAATCGAGTCTGGCATTCTTATATTTTTCAATGATGGGATATTTTACTGTTGCTACCTAGTTACAATACCATAAATTCTACAACAGAAATAAAATAAATATGACGCAAAATGTTCACAGTCAATAAAGGAGCAGACTGTGACTTTGAACACAGATTTCGAGAAAGAACTCTGCCAACGAAATAGTACTTTGCTCTATTCTGATTTTCATCTCGATACCACTATGATATGAAACACAATTGCGCGATTAGCTACCAATATACTTCGATCTAAATTAAGAATGTTTTCCTATTTGTTTTGTTAATAAATTTAAAATTATTATCTAGAAGAAAAGAATCTAACTGACTCATTTTTTCAAGAAATCATTGAATATTTCTCAGCAAAACTCACAGAGTTATTTCGTAATCCTTAAATAAACCATTTCATAAACATAATGAACACATTTGAAAGATCGATCGGGCATTATCTTTAAACAAAACAAAAAGTTTTTTGAATAGTTGTGTTTGTTCAAGCTTATTGTTCCATAGTTATGTTTAACAAATAGATCAATAATATGGGAAACATAATTATTTCATTTTAAGCATGTATGTCAAGTCAATTGTTTAGTGTTAATCGATGTAATAAATCTAATGTTCGGATTAATAGAGCATAACAGATCTTTAATATATCAAATGATGATGGTTGATCAACGCAAGGAGGTTCATCATAATTTAAAGATCTGGATGTTGTTGAACCGATTGATGAAGCAGATCGAGCACTTGTTAATGTATTATTAAAATCATCAAGAATTTACTCTTTTAGAGTATCTGCATTTGAAAGATTTCAAAATAAAATCATGATTTTTCGATCTATTGCCATTATAGATAAATCGAAATTAAAACAGGCAAATGATGAAATCATTTGCTTCATTACTAAATCATTACTAAATGTAATTTTTGTATTTAACAAATTTGTGAAAATAGATCGAACTTGATATTTTATTTTACTTTTTAGTTTATAAGAAGAGGGTTCCCGTTTCCCGAAGGAGACGGGAGTGGACCGAACTCGATGGCACTGCAGTGTCGAGACGATCAGTGGCACAGGTCCGAGTGAACTCGGGTGATCCTGGCCGATGTCCAAAAATCCGCTTGAAAGAGCCTGGTCCCAATGGGGCCAGCGTTGGCTTTCAAACCGACGAGAACAGATACTACACTTTGATCTTAGCCGAAAAGGCCGAGAAGCGATGCCTATCTTGGAGGATAGGAAAGCACGAAATTGCGGTTGCAATGGCACATTGCTCGCTCCAAGGCTCGCAAAGAACAGGAAAAAAATGAAACACGTAAGTAGGACAGAAGAAATATCGTGCCCCGCAACTCAACGAGAAAAATTGCTTATTACAACTTACCAAAAGGTAAACGGTCTTTACTGATCAAATACATGTTGCGATGACGAAATCGTGCGGGTTGATGGTAACATCGATCTGAACCTGCGACACATTTACATTTAGAGTGATAGGTAAGCATTGAAAACAAAAGCTTATTATATTTTCGTTTCAGGGGTGCAAGTTGCAATTATCCTACATACAATCATTTTATTTTCTCTCTCCTTTATCTAACTTAAGTAAACTGTATATTAATTTTTTTTTGTCTTTGTTTAGAATGTATTCACATCGATCAACAGCAATAATGTTATTAATATGGAAATAGTCAATAGATTCTTGAATTAATGAATGAAGATATTCCAATATATCATTTATCCATTTGATTTATTTGTACCTTGTCTTTGTTCTAGATCTTCTATTTTTCTTTTTTTTTTGAACGGCTATAACAATGGCTAAGAATCAAACTGTATAAATGGATATATGATGTTTTACTGTGCAAGTTAACCATTGGAAGTCTTCGATTCAATCAAACATAAATTTATGTCATTTTTCAAATAAACAACATCTTTTTTTGTATCTAATATAAATAAACTACATACTTCTTCTCTTTTTCATAATGTTGCTCATATATTAATCAAGTAAAATTTCTTTTTTTTTCATTTTAGATATAAAATAATGTTCCAGAATGCTTATTTTATTATTTACTTCTTCATTTCTACGATATGACGGCGAGAGATTCGTATTATTTTACTTTTTCTTGTTCCTTTGTTCTATGATAGTCTACCAGAGCGGCTTCGTTGCCTAACCCAGATAGATTCTTCGTGTCACTGTTGCAGCGAAGTAATGTAGTACGCGGGAATGTCTGCATGATGTGCGTGTGGTCCCTGACGTCGTACGTACGGGATACCTGCATTCATTGCCCTACCAGTCCGACGTGGTCCGCTCTATGCGTATCCGTATCTGGACGCACGGCAGGTCTTTCTGATCGCGCGAATAGTAAATAATCAATAGTTATCAAAGCAATTTATTTGAGTAAATACTAGAAGAAGAAAAACAACCAATGAAACATTTTACTGTTTCTCTCAAATCTTTTCAAATGTTTCTCTATATTCAACGAGATGTGGATGAGTTGAAGATAACTTCTATTGTCCAATTTCAACTGCTTGTAGCACATATTTCATTACCGTACTATATTTTTGAGTTGAGAAATATAATTTCGACGTATTATGATATATTATAGCTGAATCAGGACGACTTTTCGCCAGTTTGTCTTCACATATTTTTAATCCTTTTTGATAATATGTTAATGCTGTTGTATAATCTTTCATTTCACGATAAGGTTCACCTAAATTCATATATGTTGTTGCACATTCGAGAGGATTACATTTAACATTCTCTTGAATATTTAACGCTTTCTTATGAAATCCCAGTGCTTTTTCATGATCACCCATTAATCGATGAACATCACCAATATCACTATACGTAACAGCCCGGTTAGGATGTTTTTCTGGCAGTGCTTGTTCTCGAATTGAAATACTCTTTTGAAAATAACTTAGTGCTTTTGAGTACTCTTTCATGCTGCGATAAATTCTACCTAGCCAATTATATGGAAAAGCTAAATCTGGATGATTCTTCGGCAGAGATATTGCTTGTATTTTATGTGATTTTTCGTAAAATTCAAGTGCTTTCGAGTATTCATCCATGTTGTTATACACAACACCAATATTGTTATAAGTATTGGCCAATGAAATATCACCTTCACGAAGAGTTTTCCGATGGATTTCAAGTGACTCTTCGTAGAATTTAATTGCTTCTGGATATTTCCCCTGTGCTGTTTTCATCATTGCAAGTATGTGATAGATATGCGCCCTATCTCTATCATTGGAAGCATTCTCGAGTAATTCATTGTAGAGTTCCTCAGCTTGATTGAAATGACCCACTTTGAGCATCAATGTAGCCATTCGTTGCCACCCTCGACCATCGATTTCCACTTTGATGCGGCCAGTAAGACCAGCAAGTTGTGGATCATTGTCATCAGTAGTAGTCAATGGTACTTCCCAAAGTCGACTATTCTTAGCCGCCTGTGTGATTTCAACGATAAGAAAAAAACAGTGTGCATTGTAAATAGAATTTCTTGTTCTTGTGGAAGAGCACATATTTTACTTGGGTCTATTGTTATAATAAACATAACACCCACAATATCTGGATTTTTCTTTAGGGCGTCTTGAACAAATGGTGTGCGCACTTCTTTTTTCATACTAGTCGATAAAAAGTTGTTAAACGAAAGGAGTCCGCCTTTTGAATCACTTAGATTCTGAAAGTCTTGTTGGCTGAGCCCCTGATCATGGTAAATAGTAAAAGATTTCTTGAAACTTCCCGACTGCTCCTGATGTAATTGTTGTCGTTGAAGATGAAATTTTCGAATGAAAAATCCTAATTTGGACATCGCTTCCATATCAAGCGATCTTAATCCATGATTAAGCATACTATAAAGAAAAATCTTTTTCGTATACCACCAGACTGCTGATTTCTGGTGGTAGCTAGGTACGCTGAAATTCATTTATTTCTTGTTCAGGAATATTTTTTGATCGGCAAAATTTCACTAAGGTGCTCATAGATTTAGAGTCGGCGTCATCGATTTCTAATATAATATCCTTGAAAATTACCGAGTACATATACGATGGTGGTAATTGATCAAGGCTTTTTTCATCTGATCCTGTTGCCCCTTTTGTCATCGTTTGCTTTGGAACGAAGCTCATTGGAATTGAATCATGATCGCACTCACCGGCGACCTTTTTCAGCGATTCACATATCGGCTTGATGGAGATGAAAACACCTCGAATCTTTGGCCAATCCTTCGACCATGATTCATGGCACGCCTGGTTGCCGCAAAATATATAAATGGCATCCACTTTTGGCATGCTGTCAATGTTGTTTACAAGGCTTTGCTCTAATGCGCCAGAAGAAATGACGAATGCCTTTTCGTCATTTATTTCATTCAGAAATTGAATGCATTAAACTGCTGTTGTGCAAATACTCACTTCAGTGACCACTGCGTGTAGTTGCGCCAATGTGTTTCGGCAATCTTTATTTTTTTCATCGATGTTACCATCGACCTAAATGACCAGATAATTTTGAGTCATGCGATGTCTTGGTCGTATAGCATTTGATGTTGCTGTTCTACTTGTAGTAGCACCAGGGTTGCCACCTCATCAGGTCAGAAAAGCGGAAAGTTTGATCAAAAAGAGCGGGAAATAACGGAAAATAGCGGAAACAAAAATAGAAAAAACGGAAAGCTGCTTTTTGCTGACCTTTCACATTTCCAAGAGTTTAAGTAACCTTGTNAACTCCAAGAAGAAAAAATAAACAATTTCCGGTCCAAAAATAAATATATTTTTTCTGTCAATTCTTTTTCTACTCATCTTTTCTAAAAGTGCCATACAGGGAAAATGTTTGTATCGTCCCAAAAAATGTTCGTTTTGTGATAGTGAAATGGCCGTATTGCGACTGTCAGTTCACTATTTTTCGCAGAGAATATACCACCGAAGGTGGCTCTTTTTTGGCACAGCACTTTAAAAGTTTATGCGAAAAGATGCAATCGAAAAAACTGAAACTCATTTTTCAGAGTAATAGAACAAAAAATATATATTCCTTTCCACATATAGCCACCGAATGCGACTCCTTTTTGGCACAAATTAAAACATTGACCCGAAAAACGTACAATCCAAAAAATAAAGCTCGCTTTTTACAAGTCTAAGAGGATAATGTTGTTCTTTACATTCAGCTGTCGAATGTGGCTATGCTTTCATCTATTATATTAACAAATGAATAAGAACTTGAAAGAAATTTTCTTTTCTTCACTGGCATTTCAAATCCAGGTGAATGTATTTCATAGTGGAGGCCAAAATGAACACGAAATGTGTTTCACTAGAAAAATTTATTGGAAAATCTATCATGTGAAGCGAAAATTTTTCAAGAGTTGTATAGAATTATACGTTAGAAAATTATTTTCCGAGAAATTTTCGTCTGACATCACGTTATCTAGTTTTTTGCATGGTTAAGTTTTCAATTAAACAACGAAAGTCTTTTATATGAAAAAGCGGAAAAAAAGCGGAAGAGGTGGCAACCCTGAGTAGCACCATCTGCTGATTTTGTAATAATTGATTTGACTTTTTGCCCACTCATATCGAGTACGTACGTCCTGTTGTTTGATATAAATAACTACGAATGAAGAATGGTAATGTCTTGTTGAAATGTAGATCTCTTTTCGTTCGTTTATGGGCGTCTTTTTTACGACGTTAAATGTGGGTATATTATCTTTTTCTGCTGATACTCAACAACAGATATATACCTTGTTCCTATCGCAGGTATGTTTATCAACAAGGAACGAAAGAGCAAAATTCAAGTATATCACGGATTGAATGGTTAGTTTTTTCCAACTTTCATTTGCTTTTGGTGCTTGGAAGCATTTGAGTATCGTCGCGCCAACAACTGTATCGTCTTCAGAGAATACTTATCTTTTGTTATCTCGAATCGGTTTATCTTTCGCTCTATCAAACTATAATATTGGGCATAACACTTATAGTTAGGTACTGGAGACGTCATGAGTTAACTGATTGAAGTTCTTAAACGATGGAAGATTGAATTTCTTATTACCGATTCAACAATAAGTAGCACAGTACACAGAATATTTACACACATAGATATTTCAAACACGAAAAGATTTTCGTTCAATCATCATTCAAATTTCGTGCAAACTCTGTCACTAATAGGTTTTGAAATTTTCTTTATTGGCATCATCTCATTTTTAAAAGTCAATACCAATTAAGTAAACCTCTCTATAAAAAGAATACGACTGAAACAGTAGTGAAGATCTCTTTATTTAGATATTGGTTGATTCATGAGAAATCTAAAGAAAAATTGAAATAGAACTTATGACTAATTATGGAATGAGACGAAATTTAGCACTGAATCTTGTTATAAAATTATTTATCAATAATAAGTACCGTATTCATTTCTTATCACATACAGAAGCAGAAGGAGAAGAAAAAATGAGCACGCACCTGATTTGATAGTTTACATAATATAAATAGAAAAATAGAAAAGACAAGAGAAAAGCAAATCCATTGTTTAGCCTACGAAAGAAGGCGACTAGAAAAACAGTAACATAAAACTGTTTTTAGCGAGAGGAACTCAAATAAAATAAAATAAAATAAAATATATATTTATCACTGTTTCATGCACAACTCTTTAAAACGTTCAGGTAGAAGAAAAATAAGAATTAATTGTACGATCGTCATTGATTGTTCACATGGATCCATAATTCCACGTTGAACCCATTTAGGAATAGTTAAACGTGCATGACGAAAGCCTAATTTTTGTAAAATATAATCAGCACCAAATGGTTCAACTTCATTTCCATAGGCTGTCAAAAGTTTGATCGTTGGCTGTAATTTCCATTTCGAATCGGGACATATAAAACGACGTATATCATCACTTCGTAGTTCATCTAACGGTGGAGGTATTTGATTGTCACTTGAAGTAGATGATGTTGTAGTTAATCGCTGGCGAGTTTTATCATTATTGACTGTTACTGATGCTGCTAGGAAATTCGGAAAATATTTAAATGAATCCTTATGAATTTTAATAATTACTTCGTTCTTTTTCTTTTATGTAGGAAGATATAAGATCATGTAAAAAATAAAAATGTTCGGCATTAAATGTAAACATAATATGTTCATAAAATTCCGTTTCAAAACTACAATGTACTTGTCCTAAATATGATAGAATTTCGTTGATTTCCTACAATCAGAAAAAAACCAATGATGTTACCATTTAATTGTCGTGTTTGAAAACGTAGTTCGAGAGCTGGAAGAATAAATATCGATTCAGCATTGAGTTCATATTGTCTTGAACGAAACGAGCTTGCTGATGCAGGTGTTTCAGGTTCATCCATTGTTGGAAAATCACGTAAACCTTAAAAAATATAGAAATTTCTTATGAAAAAGAAAAACATCTGTTTTTGCTTTGAAAAAAAACTTACCAACAGCTGAAATTGTTGAACTTGCATAATTAAACCATTCATTGATGGTTAAATGCGCAGGTGGTTCATTGCTGTTGCGTGTAACTCGAGAAATTGAAGCGATATTTGAACGAGATTTTGAACTTGAAAATGTTGTTTGACTTTGATGATCCAAATAAAAGAATAGTTTTTGATTAACTAGAAAATACAAACGGTCAATCACTTATATGACATGAAATAAATAAACCTACTATCGCCCTCTGCTCCTCGATCGGTAACAAAATTGATTTGTGGTTCATTAAGTGAAAATAAAGCCCATTGGCGTGATTTAAAATTTAATCCATGAAAAATAACGATTGTTAAATTATGACCTTGTAACATTATTTCTCCACCATTCATTCCAACGTGTTTTTTAATAACACTTATATCATATTTAGCTGGTACATTGGAAGATTTTTTTATATGAATATTCTTCTGATCGCTACTAAAATCATATTGAATGGATGATAACAAATTTTTCGAATTAGCTATTTGTGCGTTAACAAATTCCGTTAATTTCATTGCCATTTTTAGAATATCGGGTGTTGTCGAACGTGTAATCATTAAATGTAATTGTGACCAACGAAGATTTAGTAAAACTAATGTTGACGAAGGCATTGCATTGCTTTCGGTTTCGGTGTTTCGATCATCGTTTAATTGAAGTAAGATGTGACATATACGACCCATCAGAGTTGGTGAACCCATATAATCAATACGAATTTCAATGGCATCCGTGAGAATATTCATCAAATGAGAAGCATCAACAAGAAGAGATCGATCACGAAAATCTTGACTAATAAGACCTGAAATATATGCGAATTTTTATTCAAGTGATATAGTAAAATTTTTGTTTTTCAAATTACCTGTTGTTCGAAGATTTTTCAATCGTATAATACCACCAATAATGCCTTGTTCGGCTTGAAATGTAGAATTTTGTAAGCCTAATGAAAGAAAAAATGTTCGTTTTCCTTCACTTGTCAATGTTAAACTTCCAGTTGAATAAACATCTTTTGTATTCCATTCGACTTTGCCCATTACATTCGACATACGCATTGATATATGTAATTCTTTTAATTGTATAGCTAATATAATACGTGCTTGTTTAGGTAGTATTTTATTGATGGTTGATGCTATTTGTGCTGTTGGAGCTAGGGTTTGTGTTATTCGATTTGTTGGTGGAATTCCTGTTGGTAAATTTTCATCACCAAAGAAAAGACGCCGAGCCAATGAACGATTATACCAAATTTTTGGAAAAGTTAAAATTTCTGAAAAACGTCTTATATCGTATTCAAATTGTGCTCTGGATATTTGTGCAACAATAGATAATTGTATACTATTTAAATATTCATTTTTTTCATTAATCAATACGTAACGTGTACGTGAAATATTTATCGAGACCGATTGTACACTCATAGCTAATGCATTACGTGTCTGTAATTGTCCGGAACGTATATCTTCAAATAGATGCACTTTAGATTCACCCGAAAATGGATGATAAACATTTAATTTAAAATCTTTCATGTAGATTGAAAAGTTTAAGCCAAATAGAGAATTTTCGAATATTTGTCCATTGAGATTTTCATTATTTGACGATGAAATTTTATCGGATAAAGTACGATTTGATGAAAAAACAACGTCGACAGCAGGCAGACGAAGTTCACATTCCATAGGATGTGTTGGCAAACATGTAAAGAGAAGAACACACGGTTGTATAAATATACTAACAACAACATCAATTGGAATCGAAGTTGACGATGTTTGATCTTCGATTAAAAATCTATTTAGATAAAAACAAAAATGAGTTAGTCTGTTATAAGTACACGATTCATTTGACTTACATATTATCTAAATGATCATTATCAGAATTTTGATCCTGTGCGTGTTCATCTCGTATATTTGATCGTCTTTGTTGTTCGCGTGGCAATTTTACATATTCAAGTGTTTGTTCGAGAAAATCGAGTAATATAGGATGAATAATAATTTGTGTTGCCGGTGATTGTATCATAGCACGACAATAGAAACTTGCTCGTTTATTTAACGATTTGTTTGTTACATTAGCATGTTTTGTATTATAATTGGCATCAACATCGAAGCCTGGTAGAGAAAATTGTGATACTTGATATTCAATTTTATTGATGATTTGTATTAAGCCAAGTGTTGCTTGTTTTTGTTGTTTAGTTAAATTGTTTGTTAACGGTGAATGGGCAATAAGATCACGACGTGTATAAAGATTACAAGAACCACTAGAGATTTCAATTTGTAAATTAAGTTCGAAATCCACTGCTGGAGTTGATGTTATTTCACTTGGACTACTGAGACTAGGCGAAGAGTTCGATTGAGCTTCGTCAGGTTCATTTGATGAAGTACTAAAAATGAGAGAGAACAAAAAAAGAAATTGATAGGATGTGTTATTTTTTTTAAATTTAAACGTAGATTAAACAATATCTTGAACCAAAATTAAGAAGAGGATTTTATGTTTTTAGAATACCTATAGTATATAGTTTCAAACGGATTTCTTTTTCTAGAAAAGTAATGTGCAATGATTTGGTTTGTGAAATTTTACAACGAAATCTCTTACCGAGCAGCCATAGTTGGCGTAAATGATGCTGTACTTTCGTGTGCTTCCTCATATATTGTTGATGAAGGCGTTTGTAATTCATGTGGAATCATTTCCGATCTTAATAATATATAAACAAGCAAAATAATATACACATACTAAAATTTTTCTCAGCTTAGGTTAGTTTCTGAAAAAATAATAAAGCCTATTTCATACATTCGTTGACGGTCTGAACTATACGGCGGATGTTTTGCAGCTGAATGCATAAGGGAATGACGTCGGTCACTAATAGTACATATATACTCAAACATTAATCAATGCAATAGGACTTTCTTTATGGAATAAAATAGATCGAAAAAACTTACTTGACATTTTTCAATGGGTTCAAATAATCTGCTGATGATGTTTGTTTATGATTTGGTACACTTAAGGTTGATAGAAGTGTTCGATTACGATCACGATTGAGTGAAGTCTAAATTTAAATTTAAAAAACAAATTTGATAATATTTAATAGCAGGAAATAATTAACAGCATGCATTAATAAAACAAAATATATCAATAAATAAAAATAATAAGCAATATTGTCTATCATTAGTGACTAGATATAACGAGAGAAAGAAAGAAAAAAATATTTCATTATCAAGTCGTTGAAAAATAATGTGCAGATTAAATAAAACATGCATGTGGAATGTTAATAAGATAATACAAAACAAAATTCATTGTCAAACAATAGAGGCGAACCCTGAATACAGTTGATCGTTGTAATGATCCGGATTGTGAAGATTGTGCTTGAAGATTTTGTTGCTGCTGTTGTGCGGACTACAAAACTTAGGTTTTTCATATTCTACTCTAATCAAAATTCTCGATTAAACAATAACATTTCACGATTATTTATATATGAAACACAAGGAGAGGCTGAGCAATAGGTAAATGTCGGAATTTAAGATTATACAGGACAATGACATTTAGCGTCTTACTCTATTGCAGACGGATCTGTGACTAAAACTGTTTGGATCATCTGTGAGATAGTTTTAGTAGATTTTTCATGCTGATGCTATTTAAAAATTGAATTTCATTAGTACAAAATTAGATACATATCTATTAATTTAATAGATTTTGCGACATTCAATAAAGATGATCGATTCATTCAAATTTTAATCTTATGAAAAAAATTCTATTACCTTATTGGATTGTTTCTTCATTTTTTGTTGTATTTCAGTTTTAACTGTATGTAGCAGCTCTTTTTCTAGCCAACGATAACGTGCTTCTTCAGGTTTTAAAATTTCCGACGGTGCTTGTGCTCGTCTAGAATAAGAAAAAAAGGTCTTGTGATTTTGTTTTCATCATTTATGCAAGAATCAAAACTGATCGATTTTTAGCACGTCAGATGAGATTACTTGAGTGCTTCAATTTTTTGTCCCAATATAGAATATTCATATTCTAATCTTTTTCTTCGTTCATCATCTTCACTTGGATCCTTTTTATCGCCAGTATTGATTGCATTTCCATTTTGTAGATGACTCGAATCTGAACTCTTTGATAAATCATCATCATTATTTAGATTATCCGTAACTTCAATTAGTTGTGTTGATGTTATTGTTCGTATTAATTGTGAAAAACGTTTACTTATAATTGAATCAATGTTTATATCGATACCTTTCATGTTCCATTGAACATTTAGAAACCATTTTGGTCTCTTGAAATTTTCTATATGTTTAGCGCGTGAATGCATTGAATAATGACCACTTGGTACACAACACGCATTTAAAATTGTATTGGATTGCGAATTTGATGAACGGATAGGTTTCCAATCTGGATTTGTCTGTTGAAAGTTTTCCGCAAAACGAAAACAGAAACCTTCAAACGAGCCAGAACTCATAATAGCACCGCATGAACATGCAGAGATTGTTGTTTGATCGAGAGTAAACACAAGAAAATCAGTACTCTCGTCGAATGTCATGTAAGCATGTCGTTGATTTAGTGTTGCATTCGATTGATAATCTGTTGTTGTTTTGGATGCCGAAGAAAGTTTTGTCGGTTGATCAATTTGTTGAAGTGGAATTGCAACACCTAAATCAATAATATGTAATTGAAACATAAGATTGAGTTCATTGGTTGTCGTTGGCGAGGGCTGAACATTCACTAATGAACGTATGCTTCTAGAGTCACTTGTTGGTGTAGTAAATGCACCGCGTTGTTCGTTCCAATAGTCATAGGTATTTTTATAATTTAGCCAAAAAAGAATTCCTTAGAAACAAAATTTTATTTATAGGGGAAAATATGATAGATTAAAGTTACCTTTATCGATAGCACCCGATTGCCAATAGAAACTTGGTTTTGTTAAACGAATAAAATACGCTTTTTTTTCGATCTCATCAAATTGAAAAGAATTTTTTAAAAGTAATTTTGTTTTAAAATAAGCAGCATCTTGAAAATTTCCCGTAGGTAATAATTGTCCTAAGCTAATTTTAATATTAAGCGCAGCTTTAATTAATGATTTTTCATACAGTAATAAGGAATTTTGTTCGTCATAATTGGTTAATTTAATTAAAATTGGTAATTTTTTATCACCATTTTCAAATTTAACAATAGTATTCGATGGTGTTTTTCCCATGACTTCAAAACCTTTCATTGATATATTAATTGTATAGATGAAAGGCGTTGTTGGTATTTTTTCTTCTTCATCATCATCTTCATTAATATCATTATCAATTATATCATCTGCTGATTTGGAACGTTTTGTTTTAGGTACGACTTCAGTTGGTTTAAATTGAAAATGATCAACACCAGATACTTTCTCAAGTATTTCATTTATTTCATGTATAATTACTTTCGAAACAAAAACTAATTGTGCAAGAAAATCAGCTGTGATAGTTAATTTAAGTAGATCAATTTTTGTACGAAGATTTAAACGTCCCTTTGGTTTATTATCTTGTTCTTGTCCGGCAATATAATTGCCATAGCAACGAATCTGTGGAAAATCAATGCGGACGTGATTATCTGAACTAACTGTCGGTAGTTGATACGGATTATTTGTATTATTGTTATTTAAAAAATGTAATGCATGCTCATGAACAATAGCAGTAAAACGCGACGTTGTTATACCAAGATTGGCAACACCTTCGACGACACCAATTTTATATTGAGCTTTGAGAGTTGACAGAAGTGTTGTTGAAAATGTCATTCCTTTGCAATGTGCCGTTATATGAACTTCGAAAATAGGTCGTTTTGATATCGACAATAGACTCGTCTGAGTTTCCAATAGATTCGTTGTTACATTCGATGACAGTTTTGGTTCTTGATGAATATTTAAATGTCGTTTTGTTGAAATCGGTACAGATATCGAAGGTACATTGATTTCTGTAATTGTATCATCGATGTTTGTATTCGTTTGATCTGATTCATCATTGTTCAGGTTTGATGTCGCGCTAGACGGTTGTTCGGTATCATCGGGAAGAAATTCTTGAACATAAGATGTTATTAAACGACCTGCACGATTAACTAAATCGTGAACTTCTTGTGGTCGTAATGGAACATCCATTGCGATTGTGCCAATATTTGTGACACCGCTCAATCGAAGATTATTTATTCCACGAGTTTGAAGAGATGTTAATGCTTGCGATTTACCAATAATAATATCGAGTACAGATATTTCTTGAGTTGGCAATGTTGGATTCGTAGTAGTCGCTTGATATGAAGTAGAAGTATTTATGTGCGAGGAAGAATCCGAAGACGTTGAAAGAGTTTCTTTAAGAGACAGAGAAGTGGAAGCAATTTGAACGATCAATGAACCATCGTATCTAAATTAACAAAGAAATCCATGCGTATAGAAAAGTCAACGAAAACAATTTCTTTACTTTTTCGCATTATGAATATTTGTATTTGCTTGTAGATTTCGAAGCCGTTGTGATAATGAAATACTTCCTTGAACTTTCCTCATACAACCATCAACTTTCAAGCCACCTAATGAAGCTGCATAATATATGTCATCAATAATTAACCAACCGAATGCTGAAAGTAAAAGCGTTTCATGTTTAATGTCATTCTGTTTTGGTAGTAATCTAAATGATTCTTTTCCATGTTCTTCTAAACTATCATCACTGGACATTTGTGAGTCGTTTCGTTGGTTTTTCGTTGTCGAAGATAAATTTTTGATATCGATTGATGTTTCATAAGTGGCTACAAGTTTTCGTAATCTTTTCCAGCACTGCCTTTCGGCACCAATCAAGTCATTATTATTATTATTAATAGGAGGAGACTTTTTATTAGATTTATCAATATAATTTTCTTGATTATCAGTGATTGTCGTTGTTCGAGAACGACTCTCTAAACTATCATTAACTGCTTGAAAATTGTTTGCATCTGTTTTAACCAATTCATCCATGTCGATATATTCAAATGCATTACTAACAACAGTATAAAATTGATAGACAAGACGTAATAATGACAGATTAACTTCTTGTTTGACACTTTGCACACGAATACCAGCTTGAACATTTGCTGAATGTAATTGATTATGTTCACGAGATTGTTTACAAACACTCTGAATATTTAAATTAGTTACATTAAGTATTGTTAATTCAACTGATGGATTTAATATAGCTAGTTGAGCATCATTGATGAGTTCATTGGGTAAAATTTTAACATCGAATTTTTTAATTTGGACTGTTGCTAAAACTGTCTGACCTAATTTTTCAAACAGCGGTTCAATCGATGATGTCACCGATAATCTTACACCAGCATATTCAAGTAAAATTTTAAATAGCTCTTCAACTGAACTAGCATCTGTATAATAAGCTGGTGGATTATTCAATCGACTACTATTGGTATTTTGAACTAAATCGGATTCGTTCATGCCAACACTTAATCGTCTATAGCCAGCTGTATTATTGATGTTGGCAGTTGGTTCAAGACGTCGTAGCGCATCACCTTTAGTTAAGAAAGAAAAAAAGAACTTTGGAATGATTAAATCAATACGTAGAAATAGATAGTTCTTGTCTTTTGAATTTAAAGCATAGGAATCATGCAAATATGTTCATTAATGTATAGCTGATATTGAATGGACGTCAAAATTCGTTCAAATTTAAGATTTGCCTGAAAATTCAAAGCGAGTCTCAATCAATCTCAGATCAGCTGACATACTACATGAAAGCAACCGCACTAAACTTTCTAGTGATCTAGACTAATCTGAGATTGGATATCAACATGTAAACATACGTTAAAATAAGCAATTTCATTAGCAAGAATTTCTCTTGACTGGTTGATCTGGAAATCTTACCTTGATCAAATGCTAAGTTTACACAACCTGTGGATTGTTCTATAATAATTTAGATACACACTCATATTTGTACATGCATATTACGGGTTAGGCAATCAATGCAAATAGCCCGAAAATTAGTTTGTAATTATGAAAAAGAAAGCATTGCCCCAACACTAGCGAATCTCGCTAGAATAGTATCAATGAAACAGAACGAAGAAAATTTAAGACTACGAATGCTAATTGTCACACGAGATGATTTGACTGATCACAATGATATGTTGAGCATTAGAAAAGAAATATAAATATTTACCTATGAATGATGTGGTTGTCGTTCTCTTATTCGTTTCGATTATTGTATCTCTATTACTTGCGTTCGATCGAGTTTTTTGTACTGCTGTACGTTTTCGAACACCTGAATTTTCTACAGTAGCGTCATGTCCAAGAGTTGATAACGATGTCGGCGATGATTTGTGTTTAAAAGCTTGAGCCCAACCACGACAGGCTTCACGTATACCTTGTTTTAATATTTCTATTTCTGGTATTATATTTGAAAGAAGATCAATATTGATCTGTGCATTTCTATTGAAGTGTTTTCGAAATTCAGTTATCATTTGACAAACAGGATATGAAATAAAAAATCTGGTTTTCGGAGTAAATAATTCATATAATTTACTTTGTTGTAAAGTCGATAATGTTGCGATTTCAATAAGGAAATAAGCTAAAACAGTATCAATACGTTTTTCACGTTTTTTAAGGAATTTTTTCACCGGTTTTTTAACACGATTTATAACGCAAAACCAGCCAAGAACAGTTGGTGACAAGGTAGAAAGAAAATTCCAGTCATAACGAGTATATGAAGAAAGTTTCTTTTGAGCTGAAAGTTGCTGTGTGTTAGACGATGGATTTGAATGTACCCGTTTCAATGAATTCGATGTTGATTGTGTATGACGTGGAGGTTCAGGAAATGATATCCATACATGATCAATAGAACCATCGAATATACTACTTGATAATGAATTTTTCGGCGGCGAAATTGTATTTGGTGGAGTGTTCGTCGTAGGAGACGGAAGTAATGGCTAAAGAATTTTCAAAAATTTTTCTTTCTATCTCGAGATATCTAAAAAAAACACTTACTTCGGTTTGTTTTCGCTTTGATTTATGCTTCGTTGATGGTTTAGCTGTTTGTATTTCATTAACTTCGGTTATAACTGATACAGTCTGTTGTCTTTCTTCTTGCTGCTGTTTAGCTGCATTATTTATTAATTTAAAACAAAGACGTTGCAAACCAAATTCATTCATCACAAAACCAACATTTCTTCTATTATCACCAATCGGTAAATGTGTTCGAATATCATTTGGCATATGGAATTGTAAACGACAACGTTGCGATTGTATAGCATGAATGTTGACATTCTCAATGGATGAAAAATCGTTTTCAAAACGACGAAATTGTCCTGTGATTGATGAAATTTTAAAAACACCAGCTGTTGATTGGTCACGTTTCGATAAAATTGTTTCCATTTGAATATCTTTACACGACAGAGCAAATAATGACATAGTAACAATATCTACTGGTCGTCGCAGTTCAGTCAATTGGACGTGATCTTCTGCTAAGCCCGCTTGTAATAGACAAATGTTTATTTTAGATAGTTGTACAGAAAGTTTTGTTGCCGACAAATCGATTGATGTAGATGGAATGTTTGCTGTTGTTTGAGCTTGAAAATGAAGATCATCAAGAATAGACATTGGATGAAGTTCATATGTTTTCCATTTTTCAATATATGCTGTTAGACATTCGAGCATAAGTGGCGTTAAAAGTATATTTAACGGTCCTTTGAATCGAAGACAGAGTTCATTTTCAGTTGCGATGATATTTGATGAAGTAAATGTTGCCCCTATTGATGCACGCGTTCGAGTATAATACGATGGATAGTGTTGACGTGATGGTGATGATGATAACGATTCAGACAAAAATGAACATGAAAAACCTTGTGAAACACAATTGAAATCAAGTAATGGATGATGATTGATTTGATCCTGTTGAATCAATGGAGGAAACGAAGGAACATTTGACCACGTCGATGAGCGATAATGAGATAGATATCTTATGTAAGTTGTAGATAGTAAGGTAGATTTTTGTATAGGCATTTTCATTTGGCTGCGTAAGCTAATCCAGGAAGGTGTGAACAATGAAGGTTGAGGAATCGAGTTGTATTCGGTATTTGATGAGACACTCTAGACAAAGAATAATTCAATGTTTACATGATATAGCCTAGATGAAAATTCTTATGTTCGAGTTTGAACTGATATTTGGCAAAATCACTATATTCTATGAAATAATCTGTGTGATATTGTCTGTCATTTAGGTTCATTCAACTTTTTCTCTAAAATAATCTCTCTCTTTTCCGATTTACTTTTTGTGGTAATAGTGTTGAACTATTTTCTGGTTTTGGTGTTTGCAATATTTCTTCTAAAGCTGCTAATGAATCATTTGATGATGAAGATGATGATGAGTTTGAAGATGTTAATGATACAATTTGTTCATCGACAGATTTTGATAGTAAATTGAAATGTAAAGGCTTTGATGATGATGATGATGATTCGGTAATATGATTTAAGCTCTTTTCTCTTGAATTATTTAATGATGCATTTTCTTTGGGCGTTAAATAACTATCATTTGTTGTTACTGATGATGATGATCGTGAGCCGCTAGTTGCATTATTAAATAATGGTATCGATGATGATGAACGTTTGTGAGATTTTTTTTCAAATGAATTTTTATGTTTTTTGTGTGTAAACGAATTTGATCGTGCTACTCCAGAAAATATTCTAGTCGTATTCGACTTTGGATCATTTCCGTCGAGACTATCTATTTCGTCTTCGTTCAAATTTTGTTGTTGTGTACAAAAATCAAATGGATAAAATATTTCTTCATCATTTAATTGTTCATCTGGTACAGACGAACGTTGATATGTATCCCAATGATATTTCTGTTGAAATACATGATGAGAATGTATAACATGAAGGTCAGGCCGAAATAGAGAACGGCCAAACGACGGTTGTTCACTAAGACGAAATGTACTTTTAAAAAAGTGTTCACCTTGCACAAGTGTATAATAGTTTGCTGAACCGCCAAGACAAGCACAAGACGAAAGAGTTACACTTGCTTGTAAACCAAGATTGGATGGTCGCCTTGAAGTTGTTGTTGCTACTTGTTGAGATTTTGTGTTGTAGAGAAAATGAAGCCTATGCATTTGTTGGTCGTGCCGTAGAAGAAATTCTATTTGTTGATTTAGATTAACTGATGTTGGAGGATGACAGTCGAATTTTCCATTCATACGTAATTCAGGCACATGAATAGAACCAGCTTCTAACCATGAACCAGGATAGAGACGAAGTAATTGACGAATTAGAATTGTACCCACTTTTAGTGTTAGACCTTCGTTGCATGAGCTTGTATGCATATTACACATGCATAAACGAACCGGTGCAACCTAGACAAAGAAAAATGTAGCAGCAAAAATTATAGAAAATTGCTGCGAAGACACTAAACTATCTCCGAAAAAGGTTCGAATTCTTCGCACGCCAAGAATCAACTTACTTGCGCATGAAGAGCATTTCCAACTTCAATCAGACTAAGATCCACTGAATCTAAACTAAATCTGAGTACGTCGTATTTAAGTTTCTCAACCCATTTTGTTTTATCCATGATAGGTGACCGCACCAATGTATACTCATCTTCCATCATTTGTAAATAGAAATTTTTCAGGAAGCAAAGCAGTTTTTCCACCTGTTAATCAGAAGAGGAAAAAATAAAACGCAATTGCTTTATTAATAATCGAAGGTTTTTGTTAATTTTCATGTAGCTACCTGAATTGTTGTTAAACGAGCTGATGCTTTACCAAGTAGAATATCCATTTGCCATGCATATTCAAGTGTTTCACGTTCTGGTGGTAGACCTTCATGAGACAGCATTGCATGACCACGAATGATTAAACCAGATAATTGAAGACTTCCAGTAGATAACTGTTGATCAGCTTTATTTCTCTAGGAAAAGCAAGATGAATCTTTTAAAATATTTTTCAATAGAAAGTTTTATTAAAAAAAGATGTAACTTAAGTAAGAATACGAATTGTTAAGAAATTATTTTTGTTATATTGTAATCATCTATTATCTAAAGGATATCGTAGATGTTTCTACTTACCGTTGCAACAATTAGGAGAGTTACTAAATAAAATATGATTAACATAAGATGTCTATGCTCTGTTTCGATAAATTTGGCAAATCTAAAAATGATCGACTGATTGTTACTCTATCAATCTAGCTGCTCTGCAAAGCCTTACTGAATGAAGAAAACTATTTTTCAAAGCAAAATAAGGTATTATTCAGCTGTCTGACACACCGATGTGTTGAACAAAATAAACTCATGTGCGTTTTCATAAAAACAACAGTTAGCCACAAGTTTCCGAAATGATACCTTGTCTTCGGAGAGTCCTTTTGTAAAATGTATGTACTTACAACAATTGTATCCTCCACATAGATATTCACAGGTAAAAACAATACTTGTAATTTTGTTTCATCTAAATTAGTTGTCATTTCAACACACAATCGTTCGCAAAAACCAATGGGACAAGGCTCAAGATCGGTATGCTAAAATAGGGAAAGAATTAGTTCTATGAGAAAATAGAACTCAATCTTACATGAAGAAGATGACCTGTTATATTATGCAGAGCAACACGTAGCGTAACCATGAGTGGTCGAAAATAGCGTGGATCAAATGGTTGATTTTCATCGATCATGTCAAGGAGTGGATCATCGTTTACAATAATCTTATTTTGACGGATTAACTCTGACTCATGTATATCATGATAAACTTGATTCCAACCAAATAAATTATCCTTTAAACATTGAAGCAATAGAAATTGATTTAGCTGCTTGATAAAAAAATAAACTTACTTTAACCCACCACAGGTTTTTTAAGAATAATCCATGTAAAAGTAAATTAACAGGACCCATATCAAGTTCAATATTAAATATGTCATATTCAAGCTTATTTGGATGAAATGTTTGTCGGTTGCCAATGGATTTTACGTGTTGAACATATTGAAGATCTAATATGCACATTCAAAGTAAAGATTATTTTCACGATTTTGTCGATACCTGTTCGATTCAGATCGATGGGTGGTGAAGAATGAAGTAGAATTTGCACAAGAATCTTTATATGAGCGACTTCACCGCATTCAAAGCAATTATCTCTTTAAATGGAAAAATGAAAATTGATTAGAAATTTTTGTTGATGGCTGCTGGAAACGAGTATTGCTTAAACCTTTGACGAAACAATATCACGAGTTTCTATAGATTTATACATTATTTTCTTTGAACAGCAAGCATTGAAAAAATCATTTTACGTTTATAGATATTAAAATAAGATGTCCTCTGAGTGAGATCTGAATCAAATTAAAAGAAAAACTTGATGAAAATGATATCTTTTGTTCTTTTTTTGCAATAGTCCACTAGTTTTTATCCTCACGAAAACTTAAAAAACAACTAAAATTGCTTGATTTTTTTTAAATAGACCAACAAGTTCCTTTTTCCGCTTAGGACGCCTTGATATGTGCTATTTACACTATTTAACATCGTGCCTATCAAGAGGGACTGTTTTATTTGTCTTCGGCGAAGAGTATATATGTTTAGAGCGCCGAGCAATGTATTAAGATCATATTTGCGCTTGAAGGGTAAAGAAAAGATGAAATCGTATACAATTTACATATACAAATAACCCTAATGAAAAGCGATGCCAATTGGCATTTAAATTTCCGATGCAACTACAAGATGTCAGAGTGACTCTTTTAGGAGAAATAAGCCCGATAGGTATTTTCATTGCCATAGTCAAAGCAATAAAACCTAAGCATTTTATCTCTTCGGGAATGTAAGAAGAAACGGAGATTATGTCCAGTCCGAAGAATAGATCAATTTCGAATATATATGTTCTCGAACACGTTGAAAAATATGTCAGCGTTCATATTGAATTACCGTGTATCAAAAACATCTAATAATGATAAATGCGATTTAATACCATTGGGAGTATAAAATTGTTTATGCATATCAATTCCTTCGATGACATAATACATTCGATTGTTTCGTGGTAAAACAAGACGAGCCAGTACATCGCTAACCTAAAAGACAAATTATCATTCGTGCTTTCGTCTTGGTTTTTTCTCTGAAATAACAAACTTCAACTGTTAAATCCATTGATGTATTTTTTGGGCAAAATTCAAAGAACGCTAATGGATAAGTCAATACAAGTGTTTTAGCACATAAGGATAGATAATCTTAAAATAAAACAACAAATAGTTGGAAATATAGACAAAGAATTCTCTAATACTATTCTCAGCCGTTTTCACATTTGAACAATCGAGCCAATTTCCTTGATTACATGGAACTAATAATTCAATATGATCACCACGTAGAGTAATATTATAAATAAATGGAGCGAATGAATAAATATCAGGTGGTAATGATGATGACCAATCATTGATCAGAGCTATAAACAAACAATTAAGAAAATCTGAATTAATAACGAATTGTCAAACCTTGAAAAAAGTTTTTATGTTCGAAAACAAAATAAATTTGAGCTTTTTTTGCAGCAATATCAATGAACCATAGTTGTAATGAATTCCACAAACGAGGATAATGAATGTGAAGTTTAATCTAGAACGAAAATAATTATTGTTCGTCTTGTTGAATTAAAAATTACATCTTACATGAACATTATCAGCTTCCACTAATGGTGAAAATGATAAATTCGTTTGCATTATAGTTTTTAATAGATTGACCGAGAGAAATGTATCGAAACCATCGGGTTGTGTCGAAAACGGAAATACTGCGTCGACATAGGAACCTTTGGCAGGACATTCGATATGAAGTTGTTGAAGTTTCTATAGGAAATACGAATATGAAAGAAAACAAAGTTTTAATTTCTTTTTCTAATCACCGTTTTATTCATAAAATAAAGATCTAATTTTGTTGAGCAATTAAGTAATAATTTAAAATGTACTGATTTAAATATTCGTGTTTGACCAGCCGTTGGTTCATTTGTTATAGGAGACTCTTCATATAGAGTTGGTAGAAAATATTGCCATAACAATTCTCTAGATATGAAAATTTGTTTGAAATTTATTTTTCGAAGAATTGACTATTAAATAACCTTTGCCGATCTGCCCAAGGTCCATAGGCAATTTTTGTTTCTTTATTACATTTCATACGAATTTCCCATAGTACATCAGGTATCGATTCACCATCTGCTGATGGTTCAATCATTTTGCCTAGATTTATCAAGTAACATTAGGTTTCTTTTTCTAGGCAATATATTTTTTCCTTTTACCAGGTACATCTTGTATATATTCAAATTCACCTTCGGAACATTCGAAAACTTGAAATACGCCATCACCAACAGTTTTAGACGGTTGAGTAGGAGGGAAACTATTAAGAAAAACGAACAAAAATCACACGAAGAGGATTTTAGAGCTCTTGAGAATAATAGAATTGGCGTAAAAAAGGAAAACAATCATTCTCACGAGGCCTTAGTATGAAAAGGAAATAATAAGTTTTCTTTTTGACAAATGAATACTTTTCACAAAAATTTTGACAAATAACTAATACAATCCATAGTACTCTGCGAGATAGCATACTCCTATCGGCATGCCATTGATATCGTGTGTTTCTAAGATGTGTTTTTTTTGCAATAAACCAGCTGCTACGTAAACAATTACAAGGCTGAAATAGAAGCATCTTCACTATAAATAACACGTATCACTGTTATTAATTTGCTGGCCTACTTCAAATTTCAATTATTACTGCAAGTAAAAATTTTCTTTTACAGTTCGTTTCATCACCAGTGTCAAGTCAAGTGACATTGTTCCGAAACTTAATTGTTATATCGACTAAATCAAAGAAAATAGTAAATTCTTACATGTCATGACGCTCTCCTGTAAATGCTTTAATTGGATAGAATTGGATTCGAAGATTTTTATATGTTATGCTATAAATCAGTGTCATTAAATCAATATGTGGAACATATTTGGATGGTGATTCACTAGAAAATGTACTATTCATGGTATTAAAACTTATTAATAAACCATATGGTACTGTGTCATGTCCAATAGAAATTCGGCCCTATCAAACACAAGAAACAAAATAATAGAAAAAGCAAGAGCAACAGTGAACTAACATAATCAACTTTGATTTCAATAGCTGGAAAGAGACTTCGTAAACTTTGTACAAAAAATCGTTCTTCATTGTTATTAATTGTATTTACATTGGATGATTCATCCACTTTTGTTGAAATGCTAGAAAAATAAAAGATTCGAATAGAATGTTTTCATCGATGAGTTTATATTTCTTACCCAGAAGTTGATCCTTTTCGCAAATCTTCATTTGAATTATTTGTGTCAGAAAATGTATTTGAACGAATCGGACTGAAAAGTTGTATGTCAACACAATAAAGTAAAATCTTTAAGCGTATTGCTGATTTTTTAGTTGTTCTAGACCAATAACGAAATGTTAAACAACCATCTTTAATATAGACATAATAACTTCCCGTTGTATAATGTAAATTTCTAAACATAATGGAGCCGGATATAAATGATATTGAAAATGAATCAAATTTAAATTGTGCTGCATCTTTAAAATAAAACCTTCGTAATAAATATGATAATGCAATGCCCTGTATCCGGGAATGATATAATATCAGATAGATAATCCAAAAGATAGTCAATAGATAAACAATAATAAGCAGTGGAATTTGTTCACGATGTGTTTCAAAATAATCAATAATTTCATTTGATATAACTTCGAGTGTTGATGGAGTTGTTAAACTAGAGGGTATTTCATTTGAACTTGTGAAGTTGAATGATGTATTAATTTCTAATGGAAATTCTGTTCGAAACACGGCCTGCATTTTATCTGATATGTTTTTTCTTTGAAAAACAAAACAGCATACTTGCAGGTTTCGTCTTTTCGAATCGGCACAGTCTCCTTGGAGGTATTTAATGGCGTTTTATATAACCAATGGATTCCTAGTGTATGTAGCGAACTCTGTTGATGAAGTGCGAGCCGTACATTGATTTGGATACATATTATTCAAGCAGTACATTGATTTGGATACATATTATTCAAGCAGTACATTGTTCGAATATAAAAAAGGTTTTCGTTATTTTTAGTAATATGATCATTGAAATTGATTGATTAACCGTCAGCTGTGGTTTTTTTTTAAAGAGATTATGCTAAACCATCAGATAGTTGAATGTTCTATTTTTATCAAAGCTTACCAAAATAGATTTCTTATTATATATTCAATGTTTATTTCAATCCCTATGTTAAATTCGATTCTATCTAGCACAATTATTAACACTGTTATATGGATTTTTCTTTTAATTAAACTTTAGTAAAACAAAAATAGTTTAAATTTCAGCAATGTTCATTTTGTGAGCATATAGTACATCCATAAGTCTCTTTTCTTTAATTTGAAGTATCAGTAATTGTATAGATAGGTTTCGAAATTTAGTCATCTTTACGTTGAGAATTTTTGATTGACTGAAATTACACAGTGAAGTATGACAATTATAGCTTCACTTATATACTTTTTGTTATATTTTCTTCCGAAGAACGCACTTGTTTTCCTGTCTTGTATGAATGAGCATTATTATCATCATCATCATTGCTTTTCTTTTGCTAATCAATGATTTTCAAGTTGAATGCGGCTATTTCTAATTTTCCTCATGGTTAATTAACTCTTGAATTATATGCTTTAATATTTAGTCCATTAGGAAGCACAGCGTATCCGTTTGTTATGCTTATTCTGATGAAAATTCATGAAATATTATGTAAAATTTTTATCAGCTTTTTTCTTCAACGTTATAATTAACATCATGAATATTTAACTAAATTATATCTATAGGGAGTACATCGATTTTGTTTGTAATAATGATAGGGAATGTGATAGCCCTAAGGGACGTTCTTCTCATGACATATTACTCGTAGCCAGAATAAAATAGAAAACATTAAGGTTATTCACAAGAGTTCATTTCAAAAAATATTATTAATTTTTTTTTACACAGGTAAACTTGAAAGATATTCATTTGCATAATCAAAATAAAACAGTTGTTATTTTTGTTTTGTCAATCAATTATAGTTTTTTTCCTCATCCGTATTCTGTTCTCATATGCATACGTACACGCTGGTAAAGAAGAGTATAACGACACAAGTATAAAAAAAAGAGAAAAAGAGAAAAAAAAACTTTTTTGCACACAAGAGAGACAGTAGCCATCGAGGCTCGCTAGTTTTTCTTTTTGCGTAAAAAAAAACATTTATATTTATATATGTATATGGTTCTGTTCCTCTCTTCTGACTAGATGAACGGATGAACCGAGCGGACAATCAGCATCTTCATTAGACATTGGCACCCGGTGCCGCATGATATATTCTATTGACGGAAGAGAAGACAATGACAGAGCATCCTGCATCGACAAGTTATATGTTTGTCTTTTGTCAGGACGATTTTGATGTTACTTCTGCTGTTGTTCGTCGTTGCACTGGATAAGCTGTACGACGCAGTAGATTTATATATAGTTCGGATTTAAGAAAACGCTGATAAGGATCTTTTTCCATTAAACCTTGAATACGTCTTTGAGCTCGATCAAATGTTTCTAATGGTGGATTATCAATGTTAGCTATGGTTGACATACGCGTTTCAGTATCAAGATTCACCTATAAGAAAATAAAAATCGTTTAATTCGTGAATTTTTTTGTCGCCATAAGAAAAAAACCGATCAATGCTTACTTGCTTTGGGGCACCAATAGCAATAAAATCCATATAGATTTTTTTTGCTTTTGCTGATCGTTTGGGTTCTTTACAAGCACGAAATTCATCACATGCTAGCCAAAATTCAAGATTTTCTTCACTGAATTCTGTCCGTAGGAAAGCACGAAACAAGGCTTGTCCATCTAATAAAAAAAGAAAAAAGAAATAAAATAGTGAAAAATTCGATTAGATGAAATAAATTTACATCGATGTCGTAGAAGAGCTTCAAATGATTCTTCCCATGATTGGACATCATCACGTGATGGTATAAGGCTTTTTTCAGATACAGTTGCTTCAGTGGTACGACGTCTAATTAAATTAGCGGCACGCGATTTAAAATCTTTTGCTCTAGTTTAAAACAAATAAATTGTTTATTAAAGAAGAAGAGCAACAACAACGAGACTGTTCAACATACATGGTTGCTGCTTTAGATTTCTTCTTTTTGGTCATATCTGTGGTTGTTGTCGAATGAGGAGTTGCTGTTACTCGAATGGTTGAATCGTCGTCTTCACTAACGTATGATGAGGGCTCCTAAACAGAAGAATAAATAATTATTAACATTGGTCTTCGCTCAAGTTTCATTCATGTGTCTGTACATAGACATTCGTCTAAACAATCTCTCTGGTGCATAGTACAATTACAGTGATGATGGCTGTAGTGATCGATATAGTCTACTGCATTTATTCTCTCGCTCCTCTACTATTTTGTTGTGTAGCTCTCTTCAAGAGAATATGTGAGAGCGCAACGTTGAACATATGCTTACGCACGTACATATATAAATATAAATATATATATATATATATATATATATATCGACGTCATCGCTGGCCTCTATATGTCTCTCACATATCGTATGTAATAAGACTCTCCAATGACGTCATCGTACTACTCGCTCAATATAGGTTTTTTCTCTTCTTTCTTTTTTTTCACAACAACCTTTGTGCGTGTGTACACTAGCTATTTTATATAGTTCATAATAATAATAATAATAATAATAATAATAATAATAGGTCTTTCATGATAATTAAAATTCAACTATTTTTGTTCTTTTTTAATATACTCTCGACTGTGACTTTATTCTACTCGCATGAAACCAATCATGTTTTTCTAGAACCTATTAGTTAATCATGCAAATATCAGGAAAAGAAACCCCAGTTCTGTATGAGCATTAAATGCGCCAAACAGGAGATCATAATTGTTTTCGATTGGTGTGCTTATTAAGCTTTGTTTTTCTTTTTGAATCAAAAAGAAAAATGTTCAGAATGAAAGAGAGAAGTGACTTTTTTTCTAATGCACTTTCTTTTATTATTGCTGTTTAAGTAATGTAACAATAGTAGGTAAACATAATTTTCTAACTGAACAATTATAAATTTTAAAAATAACTTCTTGTACTTCGATTATGACATGCGAACAGAAATGGTTTTTACCCTTTTGATAAGAAAACGACATGAACTAATTTCTTTTCTATTTACATTCATGAGAAAATGTCTAATGGAATCATATTTTTCATTTTGAATAGTACACGACGAAATTATACTTGATTCATCGGCAATTAAAACTATTAGGGGTTGAGATCTTTTTTTCTTTGAGTGTCACTAATTATAGATTGAATTAAGTTAGAAAAATAATCTGTATTTTGTTTTCAATAGTTCATGTAGGAGAAAGGAAAAATAAGAAACTAGTCACCTGAAATTTATTTTTACGGCAAGTCATACAAAGTGAAAGCGTATTCATGCAAGTGAGGAAAAAAACTAAAAAAAGGAAAACTATTTATTTTTCTCTTCTTCCTAAACTAAATGAGAAATCTTTATGTCGTTTGTTACAATCCTTACATATTTTGCAAAAATAAACTACATTATAACAATAACAACTGATGGGAAGGAAAAAATATGGATAAAAAGCCAACCGTAAGGCGATTCCTAGCAAGTTAACAATAGATTACCGTTCTTCGAAGTAAAACATCATCTGGACTACGTGAACGTATTCGTTGTAAAGGTTTTAACTGATTGATTGTCGTCGCTGAACGTGTTCGATAGAAATGTAATAATGATGACATTTAGAAAATTAAAATGTGTTCCAGCACACGATATAAGACAAAATAAATCGAACATATACATATACAAGCGAAACATCGACCTGCGATGACTTTTCTCTACTACTCAACTCTCAACTGCTGATCATTTATTTGATTTATGTGCTGCTAGCTGGTTGAATATGAAATGGCGACGATGATGATGATGACAACGACGGCTACGATGTAAACGAGGGAAGAAAGAAAAAGAAGTACTACTATAATGTAGAAGACTCGACGTCCGCTTGCGCTCGTATGCAAGAAAAACAACAAACGGCGCGCGCTTGCAGCTACTGCTGCTGCTGCTGCACTGTGTTCTCTCGCTTCTTCCTGCGAAGCGAATTTAAAAGTTATGGGGGTGTGTGATTATATGAAAAACTCGATGAAGAGCAAGGGAAAAGAAAGCGAGTAGACTGAAGAAAGACAGAGTATGTTTCTATGCGTCGGTGTGTGTGAGAGAGAGAGAGAGAGAACATAGAGGTCTCCAAGGAAGTTGACAGATGTAATCGATTGATACATTTTGTCAATATAAAAACACGAGAAATGCTTAAGACCAAAGTAAAAGAACGTCGCAATAGTTTTCTAATGATTATCACCGTTGTGTTGTTTTCTCCGTTCGGCTCGTTTTCTTTCCTTGTTGTTTGCCATAGGGCAGCAGGCAAGAAGGAAGAAAATACCACATGATTCCGTGCCCCGGAAATAGGACACCATAGTCTCAATTGAAAACAACATAAGAATGAAATAGATTAACTTGATAGTCGATGCACGATTTTCATCGATGTCTACTTCTTCTTTTATTTCTGCTTCTACGTTTAAGACGATCCACAACATGAAATATATGCTTACTCGATTAGAAAAAACTAATTGAATTATCTCAAAAGCATGATATTTTATTTTAGGATTTTATAGTTTTCTTTTATTTATTTCTCTAATAATATTGATCAATGAGTTTTCTTCGTTTTTCTTTTTTAGTTATTCAACAAGGACAGTAGTAATATTTTAAATCATAATATCTGCCTATCAATCAGACTACTGACATTAATAATGAGACAATAACATAGTCTAGAAGGTTAACAGCAATGATCTGACAAAATGTCATATATATGTATATATATAAGAAAAAATTTTGCTTACCGTTTTTATTTGAATACTAGTTGTTTTTTGTTGTTGTTGCTGCTGCTGCTGCTGCTGCTGTTGTTGTTGTTGTTGTTGATGATGATCGTGTGGTTGTTCCATTGGTATAGTATTAACTTCACTTTTACTACGAATTAATGTTCTCTGTTGTAATTTAGCTAGATCGTCAACAGCTTTTTTTCGCATTTCAGGTGAAGGATTTGATTGTCTTCCATAAGATATTGAAAGATATTGTTCATACAATGCTAATTCTTCCGAGTCATCAATACTTGATGCACCACTTATAGAAAATTCCGGTGCACTTGATGCTGTACTTGTTGTCATAAGCGACGATGAAAACATCGGTATATTATTTGCTTTTGGAGTTTTAAGAAAGAACGATGACGACAGTGATGATGGTACTGATTCTGTTGATGAATCCATACGTGAAGGTGGAGTTGTTATCGATGGTTGTTGGACAGTTACTTTAACACGTGGTGTTACTATCACCGGTGCTGCCGATATCGATGATGGAGTCGACATTGACGAAGTATTTGTATTCGTTGTCGTTGTTGTTGTATTTAAAGTACATTTAATAACATAATGAGACGACAATGAAGATGATGTTAAACCATAGAATGAATCTGAAGAATTTTCTTCGTGACCAAAGGAACGTGATACTTCAGAAAAGGCACCTGAACTAGATGCATTTGAAGTTTTTCGAGGTAATAATGATGATATTTTTGTTTCAGCCGATGGTGGAATCAAAGTCGATGACGTGACCATCGTACTATTGCCACTGAAATTAGTTACGGAATGGGGATTCGGCGCCGTCGTTGTGCCGATTGCTTTTGACGTTGATGATGATGTTGATAATAATAAAGAAGGCACTATATTAGATGACTTAGTTATTGATGAATGAGCAGTTTTACTAATACTATCGTGATCTATTTGAACACCCTATTAAAAGAAAAAAATAAATAAACTAATAAAGTAAATCTGACATCGAGATAAAGAAATGTGCCTGTGTCTCACTCGCGCACTTTGTCTCAAATGAAGACGCGATTACAGTAGAAAGGAAAACAAATGCATCAGTTTGACGTCACAGTTCTGTTCTTTTCTTTCAATGATAATCATCATTGGCTAAAAAAACTATCTCTTGCTGCAAGCACTCGAATATATATATATATATCTAAGCGCGCATGTATATAAACTATATATGTCGTCTTGTCTTCGATGCGCTCATTCTCTTCGCTTTGACGACGTCATCGTCGGCCGTGCGACGGACAATCGACGTCACATGTAAGCCCATCAATAGAAAGAAATCAAAGCATTTGCTTACATATTTATGTGTATATATATATATATATATACTAACGCATGCCAGGACGAACGAACAAGGTCTTCCGTTATTCTTAGTAAGTCGCGGTCCTACTGCACAGTGACGTCAATAAAAAGAATCATTACATATAACGTTCAATCAATGACGTAAAATTCTAGTAATAATTACAACATAAGTTTCTCTCATTAATAAAAAAAAGAAGAAGAAGAAGAAACATAGCATACAGACACATAAATATATCTATAAAACTTCATAAGGAAATCCTTGAGATAATAATAATAATTCAAACAAAAAAAAATAATGAGCAAAAATGATAATTGATAATAAACTCATGCATAACAATTACTATAATGCTATATAACAAACTGAAACTCGGTGAACATACATGATTTGTGGCATCTATCTATCTATCTATCTATATCTATATCTATATATATATATATATAAATCTGTGTGTAGGTGAATAGGACTCTTTTTGTCTTCAAGAGAAAAAAACTAGGTAATTCCTGTTGCTCCTACCTCTTGTGACATTCTTGTCATGAAAAGAAAAAGAAATTCTTCAGCATTTTATACGAAAGTGAATGATAGGAAATACGAAAACCTTGATTTGAAGGGGAGACAATATCTGATAATGAGTTAGTAATAAATGACAAAGTTTTATAAAAATAGCAATAACATCAGCTTACAGTTTATTTTATAAGCTTTCTTTTTACTTTCGGGCAGACAGACGGATTATATATAGAACGCCTGACACATTCTTCCTAATGAACTGAGATAGTAGAAGTCTATCTTTAGGCATTAATTTTCATGGTAATAAGTTTACATTATACAACTAATGGATTTTGGATTCATTTATTTGGACCGAACGACAAATGAGGACAAAGAAGAACAGGGCAATTTGTACTCTAGATTTACTCGTCATTTTATTGATAACAATGATAGACAGTATAGTTGCCTTTACAAAACATTTTGGAAAATAACCGCATGATATTCCTATTCTATAATATTTAATGCAAGATATACATGTGCTCATGACATTTATAGACAATCAGAGTTACTTATTTGTTGTATTTAACAAATGAAAAACGAACAAGAAAAATTCTCTACAAGACAAATGAATAATTCTATAATAAAATGAAACATAATATTTATAGATCTCACAACTATGATTTGAACTTAATAACACTTTTTATGATCCTTTTCGCTTTACGGTTGTTTCACTTGAACAGCAAACTTATGTTGACATTTATTGATATTATACGTTTTAGCGAGCACGCACACATATATTTTTTATCTTTCTGATAAGTACCATAGAAGTATCTATCTAATTTCTGTACAGCTTAATACTATATATTCAGGATAAAAAGATTATAATATAGGCTGCTTCTCTTTTGAACTTATTAATATAAGATTAAATCGAGTAAGATAATAAAGTCGGCAAACACTTTGCCTTAATCAAGGTTCATGTAACCTATTGAACGCTTTGAATAGACAAATTAACATTGAAGAAAAAAGACATTTATAATATTAAGAAATGAATTTTTCTTTACATTTAAAAATCCAAACAAAAATAAAAACAAAAACTATGAATTTAATCTCGCACGATGATATAGAAGAATTAATCGTAGAATAATTTTAATTGAAGTAACAATGCTCGTTTCGATTCTAGTCGCATATAAGACAGCTGTTGAAATTCCCTATATCATTGTGATTAGACCAACGAGAAAAAAAGAAGAAAAAAAAATCGACAAAGATTTTTCGTCTGTTCTAATTGTGTTTTTCATTTCAATTGATACCTTATGTGATTTGATGCGACATTTATTGTCGTTACTATTCAATGACTATATAAGCACATGTATATTATAGAGTGTGTGTGTGTGTGTTTCTCGATATGGGCATATGCATGAAAATATAATTACTTTCTATCGTATCCTATCGACTCACTCTTCATCAATAACAACAAAAAATGAAAGACACTAAGTCTTATGTACATGTAATGCATACTTTCAAAAGCAACAAAATAAGATTGTCTCTATAAACAACAGCGATCTCCTGCAGCGTACAAGAAAAAACAAACCACCCACATATTTACATAGATGTGCGTTACCCTTCATATAAAAACAGCCTAATCGTATTTATGAGACGACGAGTACATTAATTGCTGATCGATTGAGAGAATTCGCAATGAGGGTGTGGTGTTGCGTGTGTGTATATCAAGCTATCTTGCGGATGCGCGTGTTTCGACCTTGTCGTGTTCTGTATGCACAGATGAGCAGATAGAAAATCCAGAACAAATGACGCACATCCTTGATTCATCTGTGGTGGCGGTGCTCTCTACCGATTTCCGGATGAGTTGCTCATCCGATCGGAATAAATGATTTAGTAAACAAGCAAACAATCATCTAAGTTGGGTGTTTTTATCGCATAATAAAGTAAATTCGGTTTATCCTTATGTAATAATATCTATGTCTCTATATTTTCATTCGATTTTTCACTTACTGAATCTTCACCATTTGAATTTTCACGTCTTCGATTCATGCTATTATTTGTTCCAGTATTACTAGATACATTAGGTGTCATCATTGAAATATATGATGTATTATTGGTCGTTGATGCTGTTGAACTTTGTTTTGCAATAACATTTGTCGACATTTTTCTTTAAATTAATGTATTAATAGATCGATCCCATCTTTTATCGATGGTGACCATTCTTTAGATCATACTAATGAAAATAGGCTAAGTATTGAAACGTATGATTGTTGTTTTGTTGTCTATTAATCTACAGGTATAAAATGAAAGAAAAAAAAATATTTTCTTTTTTTGTACTAAGCTTACGCCTCCACCTGTTGTATTTAGATACGTTTATTAAGAATCAAAAGAGTAGGTGGGTAATGGTATCTCGGTAATACAGAAAAGTTATTGACGATTGATTCACATAATCCTTACATTGCTATACTCCTACTCGATATTGTTTGTCAACTCACTTCGTTAATAATTCCACTGGCAAGAAATTATAAATAATCCATGCAAATAAAATGAAGAACTCATTCATGCATTAAAACAGAAACAACTTCATGAGTAAAAAGAAATTTCTTTTTTTAACGTTTCGCCATTTCTTACTTTACTTCGCATGCACCAACACGTTGCCAATGCACTGAAATAATTCTCTCATGTCGAAAGCATACCAGCTCGTTGTATCAAATAAAAAATTGAAGAGAAATTCTGCGTGCTACTCTATGAAACGACTCGAACATCCGTTGGTCCACATGTTATGAATGCATCTCATTATAAAGGTTTTATAGATGATAGTTATATCAGTTAATTTTGCAGTATAATCCTATGTAAAACGATAGCTGATAAAGGATCTAGGAAGCTTTTTTTGATGCAATCAGAAGAATTTTTTGTAACCGAGTCAAAAAATATTTTACATCACCCGGAACAAAATGAAAAGCATCTCGAATAAATTATATAGAATTCGTATTCTTATCGACCGACTAATAGAATCAGACTGCTTACTTGAGAAAATAAGACAACATCGGATATCTAATTTGACAATCTACTATTGTTATCGCTTCATTTTTCTTTAAAAGAATAATCAAATAAACGCAGTTAAAACACAAAAAATGAGACAGATAGACAGAAAGAGAAAGAAAGGAACAATCTCGTCCAAAAGAGAAATAGAAAAAAATAAATTTTCTTTTTCTTTTTCAATAAAATATTTATTAGAAGTTCATTTACCACTCATCATTAGAATTCATATGGCAGCTGCGCGAAAGATGATCGCGTGAGAGTTTTGTCCCTCTATAAAAAAAAAGTAAACGTCATCCTTTTCATAATATCGTTTTTTAGTGTTCGCAGAACATTCTCATGAATTATCTAAGCGCATTCCAAAGTCGGTATGATTCTACGTTTGTCGTCGAGTTGCTATATGTCGCATTGCTGTTTCTCTTTTTTATGCAAAAAAAACGAAGAAAAAGAAAAAAAGAAGACGAGCAAGCGGCCTACATCAACGTTCTCATCGGTATCAAGACAGCACAGCGCACAGTGCATACCCATTACCCAACGACCAAGAACAACAATCATAGGGAAAAAAATCTAGACCACAGAAAAAATAGATGTCTGTTTTCGGTAAAAGAAAATTGATGTGAATCTTGCTTTGCGCAAACTACTATTCACTACTATTTAAAACAATATTTTCTTTAATATTCATGTAATTGAGTGATAAATAATGTGAGCAGGAAGCACCACTAGTAGTACACGCTGATACGTGTTTGAGATTAAAAAGAAGCTTCTATCAGTTATAGTACCAATGATTTGACAGAAAGTTATTTAGTGGAATTTACATAAATTCTTAGATGTTTCTTTTTATTTTGCTAAATGACAATTTATTGTACTCTATAAATTTCTTAATATTCTCTATTCAAGTGCAAAAAAGCAGTCTATCGATCAAATTTCGAAACTAATAAAAAAAATCAAAGCCATTGCTAATTATTATATCTTACTGTTTTTGTTTTTAGTAAACAATCCTAAGACAGTATCATTTTTATTGAAAATAATGCTCTAGTCAAACTCATCATCAATCCATCTCAATTTTGCTTATTCTAATAATTATGTTAAAAATTAGACTCGACTATCTAATACTAACGCTACTTTATAGCAAACGAAATTCTTCGTTAGAATCTCATCATAAAAAGAAAAGTATTCACTGGCTGATTGCGCGAGAGACTGTCTGATGAAGTCATGTCATTTTCTTTCTATAGTCTATGATTTTTTGTCTATATGGAAGTTCTTTCTATGAAGTAGCGAAGAAAAGCAAGAGGAACTACTAGTTAGCGATTCTATATATATTAAATAAGCCAATCAATTGAACCACTGAGCGTTCCTGGATGTTTCGTGCGTGCTATTACATACGGCTAGATTAGAACAGGAGAAGGAGAAGAAGAAGAAGAAAAAATGACAAGAATAATATCTACGTATTATATTTGTTTTCTAATGGATTGATAACGATCGCAAAAACCATAAAAAAACAATTATTAAAAAGCATTTAACTAAACGAAATATGATGACTGACTTGATCAATGATGAATATCAAATAATAGAAAACAAAAATCTAGAAAATAAGAGAACTAGCATAGAAGAGAAAAAAATACTATTTATTTCTCATTTTTCTTGTTAACTGTGTAGGTGTGTAAATAGAAACAAATATGAGGGGGAATAGCTTAGTTTTCCTTTTCCGAGTAATCGATGCCTTTTATTTGAAATTAGCTCGAACAAGAAAAGAATGTGCTGTTCTATCCTTTGCTTGTATTTTTATACTTTCTTATTAACTCCAGAAAATCTTTTGTAATTACTTGTGCCTGACGGATATGTTTCCTTGTGTGAACATAAAAAAAATTGTTCGCTTTTCGTGCTCCCTTACTGATAACAATAATGTAAGACTTGCTGCAGGAGTGTTGATAGAAAAGTTTCCTTTTTTTTTCAAAGACTTTTCTATTGATAAATTATCGATCGATAGATTAATCGGCAGTTTATAGGCTTAAGACGTATTTCATCAGATTGCATTAATCGAAAATGGTATAACATAACAAAGAAATATTGTTAAACCTGACAGTTAGCTTTTTATCAAAAGCATGAGTGATTATGCTAATCGTATTAATTCGTCTAGCTCGTGCAAATTTATGTTTTTTTATGAAAGCATTTTAATGAGGGGAAAACAGCTGTCACTTGTTATTTTTCCATTAGCATAATGTATTGATAAACGAATCGTAATCAGGTAACCTCGAATCACAAATGACGAATATTAACATGCACTATATTTACTCTTATGATACTTACAGCATAGAATCAAGTTATAATTTACTCAAAACAAACAAACAAACATAACAGTTAAGATTTATTCACTATATTCAAATTGCTTTGAAGTCGTCCAGTAACTACCGTATTTGAAAACAATAAATTCTTTCTCTAGAAAGAACACATGAATGTTTTCATATTATTGTTGCAAAAGAAAAATGATTCGTCATCATATTTTAACAATAAGAAGCACGTAATGATTACACTGCATTTCGCCATAAATTGAGCAAAACTTTCTTTGAATCAACCTGGTTAAATAATAAATTGTTCTTTTCACTTCAAAACACCATGAAAATAGGTCTCATCGTCATTTCGCTCTATGTATTTTCTCTATGCCAATATAGATCGATGATTGCAGTGCATTGAATGGCAAATGAACTTGTCGTTCTTTGTTTTTCCTAAGCTCTGTCAGATGTTTTTCTTCTGTATTCTTTCGAAATATTTATATAATGTAGCTGAGAAAGAATTCTCCGAAGTAAGATACGAAAAGTTAGATAAAGCTTACATGTATCGATTACTTTGTCTGTTTAGTTTTATTTATTTCAACTGCTGATAATCTAGGATTTCTAAATATATAAAATATAAGATTTGAAGAATCAAAAAGAGAAAAAGAGAAATATTTTTTGACTTTGTATATTGACTCTATCCGTTTTATTTTTCGATTGATGCTTTTTATGATATATGATAGCAGTAGAATATTTTTTCCGCGAATCATTTCTCCTAGTAGCTTAGTAATATCAATACATGTTTCATGTCTGATTAAATGTTTTTGCTCGGCAATAACTTATAGGATTTTTTTAATTCTGGTTGAATATAATCTAATCTTATCATTATTTTTCTAATTCAATGTCATCTTTTAGAGCATGAAAATATTTCTTCTTGCGTACGCATTGTAGATAGTTGAAAAACTAAGTCCCGTTATCATAAATGATTATTGAAAGAGCTAATTTCTGCCAGCTGATCGATGCTTAAAATCGCAAAGATGGAGGAAAAAAATCGATCGATAATACAGATGATCAAATATCTATCGAAGGGGTATTGAGAAGAAAACTGCACATAAAACAAAAATGTTTTATTTTTTAACAAATATTTTCATAAAAACTATAACAAGAATAAATATTATTGAGTATTGTGAACAATCTTTCGTGTAATATTCTAGATTGATTGATTGACATGCATATTTTTCATTTTGCTTTAATAAGATCCTTCCGTTTAGAACAAAACATCGTCCTACGCTTTTAATCGAACAGCGGATTTAATAAGATTGCCACTTAATTTTTCTATTTCTTTTTGCTTTCTTGAAATATAATCAAGTAGTATGTATTTTTTATTTATTATGTATTAATCATATTTTCAAACAAAAATATCTTTTCATATGTAACTAAATCGTTTAGAAATGATATGTCAATACAATGCAATAAAATATGTTTGATTGCTATTTGCATATTCATATATATATTCGATAATACTGTATAATCGTTATATCCTGATTAAAGCTATGCGTAGGATCAATATTTGCCCCGGTCGCGGTCTCGGTGACTCAAACCAAAACAACGAGACAAAGTTGTCCTAGACTTGAGCTCAAGAATATAAATCAATATTTTATGAATTTAAATGCATAATCTTATAAATCAGAACATAATTCAGAAAATATGACCTCAGTAGTCCTAGTCGTCTATTGAACAAGTAACGCGACGCAAACATCGCTAAGCCCTCTACTGAAAGGAGAATAATAAATGATTATCTAATTCACAGAAGGTATTAATGATCTGAAAAATATTATGCGCTTGTGTTTCTAATTTATATGAAATAACATGGGGTTTCTGAAACCCAGAGTCTGGGTTCCAGAGTACTATTGTTTTCCAGTTGAGAAATAGTCCATATCAGACAACGTGTTGGTAATCCATTTTGCACGAGTTTTGAACTAATCGGGCATATTAGGAGGAAAAGGTAAAATAATCTATTTCGTGGTTCGAAGGTAGTAGCCTTTAGTTGTCCGATGCAGCCGACATTAAAATGATGTCGCAAGGTTTTACTAAGAAAAAATGCCACTTTCGTTGAACTTCTAGCTTGAAAACAAAATTGGCATTGAACAAGAGCTCAACATTCTATGCGTTTTACTGGCTAAATATCAGTATGAAAAAGGCGAACCATACGAGAGCAGTAGTCAGAATACTGTATTTAGACGAAATTAGCACTGAAATTAGCGGTTAGATTCGTCAGTTAATCTGAGCACTCATGAATCCATATGGATACGCCAGTGTTCTTCCATCAAAATACATACAAACGAAGACACAAACACTCCTTTCATTTTATTCAAAATGCACAACTTTATGACAGTTGGTGTCCGAAAAATGGCTACCCAGATGCATGCTTTATTGTAAGCAAAAACGGGTGGGCTGATGGTGACACATTCAATGACTGGTTCTTGCATCATTTTGTACCAAATGTAAAACACGAAAAACGACCGATTCTTTTGATAATAGACGGTTATAAATCTCACATTTCAACGAAAATCATTAAAGTAACTCTGGAGCACCATGTTCATATTGAATGCTTGCCACCCTCACTCAACGACACTGTTACAGCCTTTAGATGTTGTAACATTATCAAAAGTAAAAACAGCATGGAGATAGCTGTTCAAAAAACATGCAACCAAAAAGTAAATTCAAAATCTATTAATAAACCACAATTTGTTTTATTGGTAAGTTCTAGCATTATCATGCCGCAAGCGTTTATCTATATTTTTTGATTGCTGAACTGTTCAAAACTCTATATTGCCAAGTCATTGTGCTTCTGGTTTTCTTAAATCCGGAATTTATCCATATGATCCTCGAGTTATATCAAAAGAAAAGTTATTAGAACCACCAACAGTAACGACAAGCTTCTCATATCAACCTGTTGCCTGTTCGAATTCCATTGATAAATCGTTTTCAAACTTTAATGATTTAACATTGAAAGCGTGCCTATCGACAACTAGACCATCTTCATGTACAAACATTTTATTAACTGGTATGTACATAATAAGAATATCAGTGTTAATACTAATGACACTTCTCTAGCACAACTTCAGCACAGTGCAATCTATCTTCACCAACATCAAAACCATCTTTAAATTGTCTCATCACAACTAATCAAGTTGGTCTAGGTACCGCATCAACCATCCATCGAAAATGTACTTTATTTTCGATTTTTAGCTTTTAAGATATGATATAATTTGTCAAATAGCATTTTACTAAATTCGACCATGAAAGATTTAACAACATCAACTGATATTTTTTTTCAAGTGAATTGGAAGAAAAAATAAGCCTATTATGCTTTAATATTGATTTTATAGGTCCAATGACAACATTCATATTAGACGACGTTACCAATGACATATCGATAGACGCCAGTGCTAGTTTTAACACTATTAATACTTCAAGTAAAATAAAATGAACTACAAAAATATCTAGTTCAAATACTTTTTCTAATCATAGATGTATCAAATATCGCGTGGTCAATAATACTCCTGTCGTTTACGATGATAACGAAAATAAAATATATACAGCTAAGCATATCAAACTTCAAATAATTTTCAATTACTTTCAATTTTAGATTTGGCCAATGTTTCAATGGTGGCAAACAACAACAACAATCAAGCATTAACATCACCATCAATGTACTTCAGTAGGTTCTTATACTTTCATGATTATAGTACTTATTTTATGCTCATAGATCAAAATTTATATACCGACAATATGTCCACATTTGCATCAACATCCAAACACTGTGTAGCATTTTATATTGTTTGTGTTTTTAGTAATCGAATTAAAAAGAAACATTTTTTAATTTTGATAATAAAAACTCCTACAGCGCACCTGTGGATCAAGATTCAAAACCAAAAGAAGTGCCAATAGCGACACCGGTGTCCTCGATGCAACATCAATATATTTCGAACACAATTTATCAACCTCCATTTTACAATACGTCAACATTGAATCAACCTGTTTTACAGTCTCAATCGACCCCTTATTCATCATATGCAGCTGGTCCAATTGCTCAATCCCAATCGAATTCTTATTCATCGTATTCAACGGACCCATTCGATCAATCGCAAACAAATAATACATCAAGTCAAAGTTGAGTATACTGGCAATATTCTAATACGAACAACTACCAGTTATAGTCCTAAGATGTTCTTCATCTTCGAACTAACTCTACTAGTTATCCCTTTGCACTACTTCATTCTGATTTAGTAAATATTTGAATAAGCTGTAAAATAATATGAAAGATATACTGAGGTTTCTGATTGACCCTTATTAACTACTTGATTAGAAATGTTTGTTTTTTTCAGTTTTTTTTTTGAACAACTGACTACTTTTATTGTTATCAATGTACATTAATTTGTAAGAAATGCATTCGTGATGATAAAAAATTAGAAAAGAAATAAATTAGATTTAAATAATATTTTAGGAGAAACATTTTTGTCATTGAAATATCATTGAAATAATATTTTTCTTTGAAAAAATTTACTTATACTAATATCAGTGAATTCAGTTGCAATTCCACATTTACCACACTTGCTTCTGCTCAATTATACATTTACCCCGTATGAGGTAAATGTATAGAAAAATTTTGATTTTAGCTCTTTTGTTAAAACTTTATATTGGCTATATAAATGTTTGAAATAGTTTCATGTTCTCGATAAAATATTAACGTATCCATTCGTGAAAAAAATTCTTAAAAAAATCAATCAGACCGACTAAAAATTTTATTTTACTAAGCAAGCAAAAATAGCTGAGATTATACATTTACCCCGCTAACACCAGCAAGATTGCACATTTGACTCAAACAAGGTAAATGTATAATCCTGTTGAAGCTCTCAGGAGATTTATCCCCACTATCTTTTCGTTCCATATTTTTTGAAAATGTTTTCACTGATCGATTGAAAAGAATTTTCTTTACATTTCTCTAACAGAAAGTATTTCAAAATAGCCGATCATAAAAAAGATACGAGAGAAGTAAAAAGCATCTTCAATTTTTCTTTCACATCTACCCCATCTGACTCTAATATGATTATTGTAGATACTATAAGAATAAATTCTAGATTAATTTTTCTTTAGGGTTGTAAATGGCTAGGTCAAATGCAAAATCTTCAATATAGTAATTAATACTAAAAGAAAATCTTTCGAAGTAATAAAACTCATATCCAATCAAAACTAAATACTTTAGTAAAAAATAATAACTATTTTATTTAGCTTCACTATCAAAATGATCTGATTTTGAAATTGAATAACTTCACCATAAGTTACCAGTTTTAGTATCAGTATAAAAGATAACACTGGTGCTGTATCAAGGGTGTGGATGTGGATTTCTGCTTCACTAAATATCACACCACACGCGGACCTTAGTACTTGTTCAGCGAAACATACTACTTTGGTTACCCAATGCAGTACCTACATCAGTATGGTTACTGAGAATTTTCTAAGTACCCTTAACCCTTAATAGGTACCCTGAACTCAGTACACTCCCTAGGATACGTTCATTTTTTTTATCTTAACTAAAGAGAGAGAGACCGAGAGAAGTAAATTTGCAAATTAGATTCGGATTTTATCGACAGGAGGGTGTCTTCAGACATGTTCAGATGTGCTACTTGACAACAGAACTTCTCAATATAGTCTTCAATTTAGACTCAATCGGAAATTTATTTTTTCTTTCAGTTAACATGATTTGTATGCGCCCATTTTAGATCGATTGAAACAGAGTTTCTACTCCTACACACTAGAACAATAGTAGGCAGAAAAAGAAGCAAGTAGCAGCGAATAGTCATCATCACGCTTTTGATATTTAGATATGCTAATGGAGATGTATTTTACCAGATGCCAAATGGTTTCTCTAGAAACAAATGTCCTTTCAAGTTGTCATCTACGCTATAATACATTCTAACGGTATCATGGTATGAAGAGCTATTTCTCTTATTTTAAGTGCTTTTTTTTGTAAATTTTCAGTGTTTCCGAATAATTACTCATGTTTGTACATAAAAGACCAATGTTCTTGCTGTAATAAATGGTCAATGAAGGATGATGTTCCGGTACAATTTTCAGGTTGATTTTAAGGGATTCTTCTTAAAATGAAATCACTGTAGTCAAACTTACGGTTTCTGTCTTGAGGGAAATTAATTTCTTGAATGTAGCTAATGCAGTTGATCACATCGTAGGATATTCAGTCATAGTACTTGCCAATGAAGCATTTTTTAGCTAAACTGAGTAGATATCGTTTTTTTAAACTATGTTTTGTCAATCTGTCAACATAGAACTTCATAAATGCATTTTACATTCTATATCAAGGTTTGGCACACTAGTTTTATATTGAGGCCAAAAAGATGAAAAACAAACAAACTGCTGATTTTCTTTTAAGGGTGCATATGAATACCAGGATCTTATTTTTCTCTTACCTGCTCATAACTCTGCATTAACATCCTAATAATGGTTGATCTTACAATATGAACGGAAAATGTGTGATACCAATAATGTTTTATTTTGGTTTAAGAGAAAAATTTACAAAGATAATAAAATGTAGTAGTTCAAAGAAGATGATATCAACTTTGCTTATGAAGTAAAATTAAAAAATGAAATTTCAAAATGATCTTACAAATGTCGACTCATTTTCTTTCAAGTAATAGGAAAAAGAAAAGTTCTTTAACTACGTGAAAACTTTTGTATTCTTTGGTTTCCAGCGTCAGCTACATAGAGATTTAGTTGCGAGTCTAATGCCACTGCACTTGGACCATTCAAAGTTGTAGCACTATTTCCTGTTGTTCCAGTTCCTGCAATGGTAATACCATTTGAATTATTGCTGAAGAATTGTATGCGATTATTACTTTGATCAGCTACATAGATGTTGCCATATGGATCAAGTGTTAAACCCATCGGATTGTTAAGCGTTGTTGATGAACTGCCAGATACCCCAGTCGTACCGGCAATTAATGCCCAATTGCTAGCACCTAATTTCCAATGAACTGTATTGTGCCCGAGAAAGTTAGCGATGACAAGGTTATTTGATGATGACTCGAAGTATACACCAGAGGGAGATGCTAATTGGTAGTTTGCGAATCCATATCAATTTCCACCAGCAACTATAGTACCGCTCGATGCATTTAAAAGATATTGCACCACACGATTATTACCGTTGTTCGAAATGTAAAGTGTGCCTGTGTTTGGATCGCGCATGAAGCAATAGGGAAAGATGAGTTGATTGAGTGCATTTCCTGAGCCATCTAAGAAGAAAATAGATAATCATCATAGTACACGTGGCGTTTTTCAAATGTTATGTAAAATTTATATTTAAATCAGCTTTCAGTACTCCATATATCAACAAATAGAGATGCTTGCAATATGAATTTTTTTCTTGTAAAAAATAGCTCCTACTCTCTTCTTTTGAATGATGAGAATTCGGTCTCGATACGTAAAATTGTTGCACACATAAAATATCATAGTACTCCACTGTTGAGTACCAACTTTTTCTCGTTTTGTTCAGATCTTTCACATACAAAATGAGTGATAAGTATGCGAGTGTGGATTGGAATGGTACTTAGGTGTAGCCTAGGTCGAACACTCCGGCAACCGAATCCCGTAGGATACTCCAGAAAATGTGCGGAAAATCGCTGGAACATGGAAGCAGTATTTCGGTCAACAATACGGCCGGACTTTTCCGGCAGGAACTGATCGGAAATCACCGAAAAAAATCCGAAAATTTTCCAACCGGAGTACTGCTTCCACAAAATCAACGGAACCAATTGGAACCGGCCGTTTCCAGGCCGGACTGTTCGATCTGGGAGATGAAACAAAGAGTCTTGCCCCTAACCATATTTTTGTTGGAAGAAACATGAATCAAGTGTAACAAAACATTTCACAATACGATAATGGGATATTCTAAATTATGATGAAAGTGTTACTGGTTCTAGTAATCATCTAACTGAGTGCTCCTTTTATTACTTGTCAATAGCAAATATGTTGAAAGATACACTTTTTGGGTGTGGGTGTCAAAAGTCATTTTATATTTCTTACTGAAGCCTGCAACTGTTACGCCATTCGACGCACCGCTATTCCATAGTTGAATACGATTATTATATTTGTCTAATGCATAGACATTATCATTTGAATCCACAGCTACACCAATAGGATAATTCAGGAAAGCAGATGTATTACCCGATGCACCATTCGTCTGACCAGCTACTGTTGTACTGGTATTCGATGATCCAATAACATATTTTTGAATCCGATTTAGACTAGTCTCAGCAACATAGAGTGCATTAGATGAATCAATGGCCAAAGCAGTTGGTCCGCCGGATGCATCGGAAACTACGGTTGTGCCCGTCGAATTCCAACCAAATGAGAGTATTATCGCTAAGAAAAACATAATAATCATTTGATGATTTTTATTTTTCTGAAAGCGTTTAACGTTCGACTGTATAATAAGGATATAGTCGATTGGAAGAAAAAAGTAAGTTCTTCAATAATTGATATTGCATGTAATAACTCTTGATGGCATGCGAGTGAAAAATGAATGGTATCGTCCTTCAGAACAATATAGAAGAAAGTAGATGCCACACATTTCTGACTGATGTACCCTATACTTTAATCTATTTTCTTTTTTTATCACATGATGAGTTATATTTCTCCTCACAAATCAGATATGGAGAGTATTGAAAATCTTACACATCAAAGTTTGCATCTTGTTGGCTTGTATTTAGGAGCACATCTTTCAATCTATTACTCAAAACACACTAGTTTAAGTCATTTAAATTACTTGTTGCCGTTGCTGTTGTTGTAGTTGATGTTGATGCCATAGTACCTAAAGAGCTTCAATTCAATTATTTTTGGCAAACATATTTTGCCGTTGAATAATGCACGTGACACTTATTCTCATCATATAAATAACTTTGATGTGACTAGAGTAATCCTTATTCGAACGTGAATTTCAAAAAGATAAACTTTTGTATTTACGCAATTTGAGTGCAAATATCGACACGAGCAGCTATATATTGATTGAGTGGGTGCAAAGTTTCGTTTCTTCGGATGGAGATTATTTTTGACTGAGGCTATGAATATTCATGAATAAATTCATCTAAGATCTAAATAACGACAAACTACACCGATTTTTTACAGGACTCCATCAAGAGAGTTAGAGAAAGGGGCAAGCATTTATCTTTTGAATTGCAGTCTGCTGTTCTTTTGAAAGGGCCACTGTGAACGTCCTTGAATAGGAATGGAATTGATAAATTACTACTCTTTTTGTATGATATTAAAACTTTTAGTCACACGTTGATTGAATGCTACAATATCGTGCTACCCATAGGCGATGAAAGTAGATCATGCCATTATTATCAATACATCCAGGTTATTATAGGCTTGCGCTTAATCAAGTTTCAATCCGTGATATACACTCTAAACAAAAAAGGTAATTTTACCGAGCCCTACAAAAAGGTTTCGTACGTGTCAAAAAGTTTCCAAATGCGTTTAAAGGCTTGAAAAAACGATTGTTAAAATCTACGAAACCTTTTTAAGTTCCGTACAGCGAATAGGGTTTCGTAAAAAAATACGAAACCTTTATAGTTTTTTATTGAACCTTTTGGTTTCGTATAAAACCATAGTGCAAAACTATAAAGGTTTCGTAGGAGATGGTTCGGACCGTGTGTCTGCGATCAGATCCTTTTAAGGTTCCGTATATTTTAACAAGCGATTTTTCAAGCCTTTGAAGGCATTTGGGAGCTTTTTGACACGTACGAAACCTTTTTGTAGGGTTTGGTAAAATTAACTTTTTTTGTTTAGAGTGTAGTCTAGTTTTAATGATAGCTTGTATCTTTTTCTAAAAGATCTAAACAAACTTTGAGTGTTTCTTTATTAAAAATAATCATATTATACATAGCATTTTGAAGTGTTTTCCATGTTACAATATTGCCAAAATGAATAGGTACGTATTTGACTAAACACCCCGATTGCAGCGAGTGATGATAAAAGTATTACAACCCAACCGGCGCCGCAAAATAAATACCATGTTCTTAGATGAAAGAGTTTTCTAAGTAATTTAAAATTAAAAAGATTATTCATATTAGATATCAATGAATCGAAGTTAAATGGCTCCATAAAACTGTTAGAGTAGGATTATGTGAAGGTATAAATAATATTCTTGCGTTGTCATACTCCTTCGTATCACATTTAATTACCTAAAATGTTCTTCTAAAATTCGTCACATCATTACGAGAAATATGCCTGTTGCAGCTTAGAACTTGCTGTCCAGCTCACCATTATAGGATTATCTTGTTATTATATACTAGAGACCCTGGGATACACTAGCTTCTAGTCATATCTTCTGAAAATGCTAGTTTATTTATTGAGTAGTTTGATACTAAGTCATTAGAATAATACTAAACCTAGAAAACAAACACCCTAGCTATCTACCGAAAGTGAAGTATTTTTTAATGCATAGCACACATGTAATCGAAATAATATCGGCAATGTCAGCAAAATGTTCTTTTCAGACTTTTTACTATATAAAATGAATAGTAATTTTACTGTTTCACTATTTTGCGTTGTAATTTTTCACTTAGAATATTGCTCGGTTATGAACTGTTCGATGGTAATACCCGATTTGACTTAGTTTTCAATCCACTTTTTATGGATCTCTAAAGAGAGCAGTAAGTATAAAATTGATCGATAGCAAATACTGTGAATAAAAATTGACTTACTATGAAAGAAGGAGTCAAGTTCCGCAATTCACGAGCAGTGCTGGGATGTCTTGTAGCCATCTAGCAATATTGAGCTGTAGGTGTATATAGTAGCGTGATAATCTGTATCAGTTGCAGTGACTGAATGGGAACGATCTGAAATCTGTCTACCGAAAGAAATGACTCACGTTTTTATTATTCAATAATGTTTTTTTAAAAATTATTAATCGAAAGTCTTAATGAAGTATTACAAAATAGTTGTAAGATGAACTGTCTTCCTTTCGTATGCTAAAATGTGCGTTATTTATACGTACCAGAAAAACACGAATTTAATGGCAATAGTATACACACCATAGATGAAACCAGTACTGATTACTAGCTTTGACAGATAAATCAAAAAAGTAAAAACTTTACTTTTAAAAGTTTATGACATCTTACAGGCACTGTGAAGAAGAAATCTAAAACCATTTTAACAATACTATAAAATAATTGAAAATTTTTGAAAAAATCTCAAGTACTTCCAATTGTGAGCTTTGCCATGATGTAAGGGAGCGATCAGGTAAAATAAATAAAAGATGAAGATCTTTCAATTTGCAGCACTCTATTTGAACAGTCTTATGTTCGATAAAGTATTTTACGACTTGAGAAAGTGATTCAACGAAAACGCACGGATGCCAATTAAATCCTTGATACATTTCAAGTGACTAAATTTCATTCTCTGTAGTTTAAAAAATTGGTGTGTATGAACATATTGATTCCATGTCAATGACTATAACTGCATCCGAATTTGTTTCTAGTATTGATTCTAGCGAACACTTTACTTTTAATCGGTGTAACTCTTCTAGATCTAGACGCATCTATTTTTCAAGCTTTCATATTGGAGAGATAAATTACACTTTATATCGATTAATATTAAAAGCATTGCTTGTATTAGTACAACCAGGTTTTGGGGCCGAAGAGCCGAGCTCAAATTCATTCAGGTAAGTATAACCTGTTAGACTGGTTCAGTATTTTTTCATCGTGTTACATTCAGTCACCTTGAAAAACCGTTTTAATTCAGTCTATTTTAGGAGTCGAATCGCGAAGCTTCGGAAAAAATAACAAATTTAGATAACAAAAAAATGAAGGCGTTATACTGAGAAGATGTCCATCATATATTTTATACTATCGCATACGTTACTTTTTTTTAATATTATTGACTTGCTTGTAATTATTGATCAGAAATCAGAATCTAATTCTATTTTATTTTTTTCGATTGAGCTATGATTATGTTTACGCTCGGGGAAGAGTATAATAGAAATTCATTTTTCACATAGTCATGCCTACTAATTCAAATCTTCATCGCATGATTGAATAATATAAGGCTAATCAAATAAGTATAGATGAAAATATATAAAAACTAATAAAAGACGAATAGTGATCAAGCGTCAAACATGCAATGAAGTAATAACTAAAGGGATTCACCCAACATCTTCACCCTCGATACTGTATTTGTGTCTGTTTTCAATGCGTGCTTTGTAAAGAAGATGGATTCGAGAAAGATCCGTGCGTATGTCAAATAGTTTTAATAAAAGACGATTGTACAGTCAGAAAATAGAAGAAAGCAACCCATGCACTTCACTCATATACACATGTGCAGCCTCATGATCGATTCTGCATTTTTTTGTTCGTGCAACAAAAGACAAATGCAATGTATAATAAAATCAATTGTAAATAAATAAAGTTATTATTTATAGAATGTTTCATTTTATGTCATTAAAAGTTTATTCATTAACAAAAATATAATGATATATATATGCATACATATATATTATATAAACAATATTCTAAGGAGAAAAATCACACAGCTAGTAAAAGACACACGCCACCTAAAACCCATTTAGCTGGTTTTTCTTTTGTACGTAAATTAAATGTCCAGACAAATGTTGGGCCACGTTGTTTTGTTTTATATACTGGACATTCATAAATATTCTTTGTTTCACGTCGATCAACTATAAAATAGAAACATAAATTTAAAAAATTGATGCGCAGTCAAATAAATCCTTACCAGGAATAGCTTTAACAAAACAAACTGGCATCATTGGTGTTAATTCTTTTAAGCGAGCTTCGCTTAGTTGACCTGTTTGTGTATCCCATCTTGCACCTTCCATATAAAGTCCATGAACGTAGGCACCTTCACGTGGTGCACCACCTAATTCTTCACGAGTCTTTTTCGTCACATCAACTGATAGACACATTTTATCTAATGGCCATTCATTTTTACGCGCTGTTGTTTGCATAATAGCTGTTAAAAATGATTGAGGATTAAATAGACCACCAAGCCAAACAGCAGCTGGCAATTGAAAGTCGCCTGTCCAGATTTCTAATTCTTTAATACGTACTAATAAATCACTATACCATAAGCCAAGACTAAACATGGATGGATAAGCACGTTTTGTCCATGCAGCAGGTACTTGTTCGAAAAAGAGTGAATCTTGTAATAATTCCATATCAGCTGTTATAGTTAATTCACCTTTAAGACCAAGATTGAGTTCTTTTAATGATCGACGAATTTCGCTCGTCAAATAATTCATACGTTCACATTCTTGTAAAGCAACAACGGTATATGGAGTTTTTTCCTCAGCTTTAGCATAAAGTTCTCGAACCGGAAATTCATCGGGTAATTTTTCCAAAATTTCATCTAATTTCGCTTTTATTTTTTCTTCACGTGTCATTCCTGCACCTTCACCGCCAGCACCTGCACCTGCATCACGCGGTTGCATTTCTAATACAGTTTTAAATAAGTTTTCACTAGTCGTGGTTAGAAAATCAATTTCAGCATTAGGATGTAAACCATAGAGATATGGTGATTCGGGTGGAAGAAATTCATCAATGTAGCCATGGTAGCCTTTATAATCAGTTGATGGTGGAATTGGAAAATTAGGTGCCAGATAGAGTTCACCATCAAACTAAATAAAAATTATATTCGTCAAATATTATGAAATTTTCAATAGGTAGTTGAAGTTATCTCTCGATATTGGCGAGGTTACCCATGTAGTCGATAATGCAAAAATAATGGACATTATTTTCCATTATTTTCCCAAATAATGTACATAATGTAATTATAATGCAACCTATATCGT